GATGGGGTTCTAGGGGAATTGATTGGCGGACGCGCATGGAATGGGAGGGGCGGGGCAGGGGAGGGATTCTGGAGGGAAAATTAAAATAGGGTAAAGTTGAGATAAAATGTGATTTTGGAGACTTTTTTTTCAATAATTGAAATTAGTTGTTTCTGAAAATAGGATTGGATCTATTTTGAACTGGAAATGTGGATTAATCGAAGGAGAGCATTGAAGAGGGAGATGGGAGATTTTTTTTTTTTGGGCCGAAATTGTTGAAATGAGAGGTTTTAGAGGGGTTGATTTTTGATAGGGGGTCTTGTGGAGGGTTTAGATTGTTGGGGGGTTCTAGGGGAATTTCTTGGAGCGAGTGCAAATTAAAATAGGATAAAGTTGAGACAAAATGGGATTTTGGAGAATGTTTTTTTTTCCAATAATTGAAATCAGTTGTTTCTAAAAATGAGATTGAATCTATTCTGAACCGAAAATATGGATTAATCGAAGAAGAAAATTAAAATGAACATAGTAGAATTTTTTGCATTTTTTTGTGGAAATTTTTTGAATTGAGAGGCTTCAGGGGTTTTGATTTTCTGAGGGGCTAATTCATCAGTAAAAGTAGCTACGATATATGAAGAAAAAAACAATTTTCCACTTATTGTTAATTTATCCAATTGTTAATTTATTTATTCATTTTGTCCGTCTGTTTAGTAAACCCTTAATTTTTGAAAAAAAAATGTCAACAGACATAAGGGGGGTTTTCAACAGGCGACCGGATGTTGGTGGCGAAGTCTGGGGAGAAGTTGAAGCATTCGGGAGAAAAAGTGGGAGGAGGAAGTGGAGGAGGCGATCTGCTGCTTGTGGAGTTCGTGGACGATCTTTTCGCTGCCGCATGGTGTGACTGGAGGTAAGGAAAAATTTTGTTACAGTGTTTTTTGGGAATTTCGAAGGATTTTGGGGCGGGCTGAGAGGGCTTTTGGGGAGGATCAGAGAGGATTTTTGTTCAGCGATTCGTTGACAAGGATTTCATGGATTTTTTTTCGAAATTTCGAAGGGTTTTTTCAAGGACTTGTAAGGACGGTCGGACGCCACGTTTCTACTACGTTTGTGGATTTTTACGTCATTTTTTGTCGCGGTTAGAAGACAGATTTTAAGGGAATCTGTTAATTTTTTATTTGGCGATTTTTTTAATTTGAAAATTGCGGTTTTTTTGGCTCATTAGGGGTTCGTTATTTATCTCGTGGCTTGAGAGGCTTGAGAGGGGAGGTTTTGAGGTTATTTTGTCAGTGGTGTCACCACGCGACATGATGAATTGACACTGAAATTGTCTTTTTTCTTCTTAACAATTCATCAGTTGTAAATAAACAATGCGACATTGTTGGGGATTTAAAAAATGATTTTAATGAATTTCTGGGATTTTGAGGAAAAATGTCGTTTTTGGAGTTCCAGCAAAAATTGCTCTTTCATTTTTCTGAAATCAGCATAAAGACGAGATTTACTTGAATTTCCAATTTAATATGAATATTCAGTGCCAAATTACATTGAATTTGCAGTGAAATCTGAAATTTCATGATTTTCCCCCCTAAATCGCATTCAGTGTCACTGTCCCGAAAATTCAAAAATATATTTACCGGAATTTTCTAGTTTTCTATTCACTTTCAGGCAAAAATGCAACTGAAATTTACAGTTTTTTTTTATTTTTCCACGAAACTCTGAATTTTCAATGACGAAATTCCTTGAAATTCCAGTGGTAATGAAATTCTACAAAAATTTTTAACAGTGTAACGCGCAATATATCTGGTTCCAAAAGAGTGAAACTGTGAATTCCCCAAACTAAAAGTTAACTTACGTCATTCACCGCTGTCATTAGCCAAATGACGCCAGAATAGCTCTGACTAGGGGAGGGTAGGGTAAAATGGACACTAGACTTTTTAAAAATTATTCATAACTCAGAAACAAATGTAACAGTAGAGCTCAGTTTAGGCTCATCTCAAAGGGAAAGAATTGTTCTTTATATTGAAAAGAAAATGATTAAATTTGATCAACATGTCAACCCGTCACTAATATTTAAGAAAAAGTCAAAAGTGTCCATTTTACCCCAACCTCCCCTAATCGAGCTGAAAAAGCTAGAAGAGCCACGAAGAAATACCGTACTAAAGAAATTCCTTCGACGTGACGAGCCCCTTGTCCTCATGTCTCCCGGCGAGATATTCGAGATCGAGATTCGAGTCCAATTCGAAATATAACGAATGAGGTAAGTTGACTTTGGTCATCACCCACCCTACACTGAGAGAAAAACGACAAAGTTCTCAAACAAGTCTTATTTGTGCCAAGAAAATAGTTTTAAAAAAATTATCAATAAAGGATTTTTGTGCCAAACATGCAGAGAGTGAGCCGGAATGAAAAATTTTTGTCGCAAAATCTTTATTTTGTATGAAACAAGGGATAGTAGTTTTTCGTTTCGGCTGTCTAATAATCACAGACAGCAAATGAACCCTTAAATGAAACAATAATAATGATACGACAGCAATCTTGTAACTTAGGGATAAAATATTCGTTGATAAATTGCCTCTTGAGCCAGATATTTCGTTGCTATCGAAAGCAGAGCAATTATTCATGTTTGAGACTTTCAAATTCGACCCAAACAAATTATTTTTTGTCAATTTTCAACTAGCGATTTTGTTGGCCCAACCAATACTCGTTTGACGTGTTTTTCTCTCAGTGCAGAAGAGCCAAAGCCCCTTACAGCATTCTCTATATTTCCCCCTGGTCTCTTGTCGTTCCAGACCCCGCGAGAGCCCGCAAAATGCCACAGAACGAGTACATCGAGCGTCACCGTAAGCTCTACGGTCGCAGACTCGACTATGAAGAGCGTAAGCGCAAACGAGAGGCGCGTGAGCCCCACAAGAGGGCCCAGATGGCCCGCAGCCTGCGGGGCATCAAAGCCAAGATCTTCAACAAAGAGAGGCGAAACGAGAAGATCCAGATGAAGAAGAAGATCAAGGCCCACGAGGAGAAGAAGGTCAAGGAGAAGAACGAGGCGGCCCCTGAGGGCGCTCTCCCCGTCTATCTCCTGGATCGCGACGTCACACAGCGCTCCAAGGTCCTCTCGAACATGATCAAGCAGAAGAGGAAGGAGAAGGCCGGGAAGTGGGACGTGCCCATACCCAAGGTCAAGGCGCAATCGGAGTCTGAGGTCTTCAAGGTCGTCAAGACTGGGAAGTCGAGGCGGAAGTCGTGGAAGAGAATGGTCACGAAGGTGACGTACGTCGGGGAGAACTTCACCAGGAAGCCACCCAAGTTCGAGAGGTTCATCAGGCCCATGGCGTTGAGGTTCAAGAAGGCACATGTCACACATCCCGAGCTGAAGGCCACATTCTGCCTACCGATTATTGGAGTGAAGAAGAATCCGAGCTCGGCGATGTATACGTCACTGGGGGTCATTACTAAGGGCACTGTCATCGAGGTCAACATCTCGGAGTTGGGTCTGGTGACGCAGTCGGGGAAGGTCGTCTGGGGGAAGTTTGCGCAGGTTACGAATAATCCGGAGAATGATGGCTGTATCAATGCGGTTTTGCTGGTTTAGACATGAGGCTTGTGGAGTTTGAGTTTGTAATTAGTGGGGGGATGAGGGAATAAAGAGATGATTTTTTAAGGTGACGTTTTGGATTTTTTTTGTATCTTTGGCTGCCAGTTTTGATAAGTTTGGGAATTGGGGGGAAGTGGCGATAGAGCTTTTCTCTGGAGGAGGAAATTTTCAACAGATAACGGCTTTGGACATTTTTTGGCAAATCTACTCGTCATCAGGATTATTCGACAGTTATTGAGATTTCCTTTTTTTGGGTGACAAGCTGTGGAAACTTATTGGTTGTGTGCTGAGTAAAAAATATTAATATTTACTGAAATGTAAAAATTTTTTTTTTAAATTACTGAATTTTGAAGGGGTTTTCCTCATTGTCAATTGTCGAAAAATATTTCAAAAGGTGGAAATCTGACTTCTTCAAAATGTTTTGTTAAATCTTGAAATTAAAAAAAATCATTTGCAAATTTCAAACAAACTTGTTGGTTATTTGAAATTTGTTCATAACTCTTGACATTTTCTTCGAAAATTGGAGTCAATTTTGAAGGATTTTGACAATAAATTTTGGTTTTTCTTTTCGATTCCAGTTCCAACATGCAGATCTTCGTAAAAACCCTAACTGGGAAGACCATCACCCTCGAGGTGGAGGCTTCTGACACAATCGAGAATGTCAAAGCCAAAATTCAGGACAAGGAGGGCATTCCCCCAGACCAGCAGAGGCTGATTTTCGCTGGTAAACAGCTCGAGGATGGACGCACCCTGTCTGATTACAACATTCAGAAGGAATCGACACTTCACTTGGTACTCAGATTACGTGGTGGTGCCAAGAAACGCAAGAAGAAGAATTACTCAACACCAAAGAAGATCAAGCACAAGAAGAAGAAGGTCAAGCTTGCTGTCCTCAAATTCTACAAGGTATGGCATCCCCTCCCCCCCATGATAACAATTGAAAAAAAACTCCCAATAACAAAAAAAAATCATCAATGAAGTGATGATAAAGCAGGAAAAATTTATTTCATTTTTTTCACATCAGTTTTTTGAGAATATCAGCGAATCTGAAGGGGATAGCGAAATTTTCGTCATGACCTTTTTTGTAGAGAACTTCAAAAGCTACAAAAAATATCCTGACAAGAATTTCGCTATCCCCGTTAGTTCCCGAGATATGCACCAAAAACTGATCCCGAAATAAGTTTTTCCTGTTTCAAAGTTTGAGTTAAAGAATTTTTCAAGTAAACAACAACAAAATTATTTTTAAAAGTTCTTCAAGTGAAAAATGACGATCATCAATTTTATATGAAGAATTGGTGGCTAATTGAAATGAATAAAACTAACTGAAGAGGAAAAATATGAGAATATTTAGAAAACTTCAGAAATCAATTTTTCACAAAACGAAGAATTTGATGATGAAATAATTTGTTTTGTTTAAGGTCGATGAGAATGGAAAAATCCATCGTTTGAGACGAGAGTGCCCATCTGAGCAGTGCGGTGCAGGTGTCTTCATGGCAGCCATGGAAGATCGTCACTACTGCGGCAAATGTGGCTACACACTCGTCTTCAACAAGCCCGAAGACAAGTAAATGTATGATTTGTTATGAAGGCTCATTGTACGGTGAACAGTACACATTAAAATATTACTTCCAACTGATTTTTACTTTTGTTTTCTACTTGAATACCAGATGCCATTTTTTTGAGGATAATTTTAATGGGAAAGGATGAATTTGGTCTAAAGAAGTGGAAAATTTACAGAGAAAAAAACAAGTCAATTTTTTTTTCTTCTCAGTTTATGGAATTACTTCTTCTTATTAGTTTATGGAAGTTTATGGAATTGTCGTGATGATGGGCGACTTTAGAGGGAAATTCAACCGATTTTTCTGTTGGATACTCTTTTACACAAAAAATTTCAATTAAAGAATTTGAGAAACAGTTTCATTAAAAATTTTAAACAGGTAACTTTTTATATTCTATGAAATTCAGAATTATCTCTGCAATGAATGGGGTTAGAGCAAAATGTGATAGAACACTTCTTCTTGGAAATTTTATACTCCACAAAAAATCTCTTATGATATTTTGCTCTAAACCCTCTTCTTTTTGAGAGAAATGCACCGCAAGCAGAAAAGTCCAAGCGCACTCTCTGCGTTCACCACTTAACTAAATTAATCAAATTTTTTAATTAATTTGATTAGGTAATTAATAAAATAAATGACACGAAAATCACTTCTTCGATCGAGGGGTCGCAACGTGGATTTTATTGAGGTAAATTATTATTGAAAACAATTATAAAATTGATAAATATTCTCATGTTTCATGGAAAATTATGTCGAGATCATTGACACCGAATGTTCGCATGTCTCGTCCACCAGGTATGGGTATTCCCGGTGTTCGTTGTTCGTCGAGTGAGGGTCGAGTGTCGTAGAGACTTGGTGCTTGGAAGATTATTCCAATAGTGCCACCGGTACAGGCCAGTGTGAACAGGTAGAGGAAAAATTTGTCTAAAACCATTGCAGCGAATTTCCAATCCTCTATTACCTGAAAAAATTATTCTTTTCAAGACTCAATATTCTGTAAACAAACGATTCAATTTGGACGAGTCTGTTTATTTTTGAGATTCTGAAAAAAATTTTGAAAAGAAAAAAATTTCGAATTTCACTCAGTTTTGAGGATTAAACGAGCCGAAAGATCATTTGGAGATGAAGGTCAAGTGATTTTGAGGGTCAAATGACCCTTGAGGATCTTTGGAGGTGAAGGTTAAATGATTTAGGGGGTCTAAAGACCCTTAAGGAGTTTTTGGAGTTAAAGTCAAGTGATTTTGAGGGTCAAATGACCCTTGAGGATCTTTGGAGGTAAAGTTCAACGGATTTTAAGGGCCAAAAGACCCTTAAGGAGCTTTAGAGTTGAGGGTCAAGGGACCCTTAAGGATTTTTGGAGTTATAGATCAAATGATTTTGAGGCCCTAGAGACCCTCAATGAGGGTTAAACTACCCTTAGCGACCTTTGGAGGTGAAGGTCAAGTGATTTTGAGGGTTAAACGACCCTGAAGGACCTTTGGCGGGGAGGGCCAAAGGGCCTTGAGGATTAATCGAGCCTCAAGGGCCTTTGGAATTGAGGGTCAAGTGATTTTGAAGGTCAAATGACCCTTAAGGAACTTTCTTAAGGGCCAACAGACCCTTAGAAACGTTTGGAGTTGAAGGTCAAGTGATTTTAAGGGTCAAATGACCCTTAAGGAACTTTGGCAATTGCGGTTCAATACATTTTGAGAGTCAAACGACCTTTGAAGACCCTTGGACTTGGGGGTCAAATGATCCTCAAGTTCAAATGATCCTCAAGGACTTTTATAATTCGTTATCAAAAAATCCTGGAAATGAAAATAGGTGGCGACTTTCACTCGACTGATCTGGAGTCATGGGGCTTTGAAAGGCTGTTGGTGGCACTCACCTCGTTATCCTTGTCAGCATCTTTGATGTGCTGCGCGATGAAACATACGCCTTTCAGGGCGGAAATAACGTCCGGGGATGCGTGCCTCAGGAGAATGTTGTCGTGCTCGTGATCCGATGAGACACGGTCGTGGTGGTGGTGGCCATTGTCGTCCTCCATGTTCTTGTATGCCAGGGTCACTCTGTCAAACTCGTCCGGATTCTCCTTCAAGTCTGATGTGTACTCGCTTACACTGTCTCCGTAACTGAAAAAATTATATTTTTTTCTTCAATGTGAAATTAAAAAAATTCCTTGAAAAAAAATGTCATTTGATTGGATCATTTATTTTTCAATAGAAATAATTAGTTTTTGGGAAATGATCTGAATTTTCACGAACGATTTCTGAATTTCAATTTTTTTTGTGAAATCATGAATTCTCGGAAAATTCCTTCAAATTTAAGAAACTTAAAAAAATGGACATTCTGAAAGAATGAAAAAAAAATCTTTAAAAAAATTGCTTCTTGATTTGGATTTTTTAATAGAAATAAATAGTTTTTTGGAAATTATTTGAATTTTCTCGAAAAATTTCTGAATTTCAAATTTTTTTGTGAAAACGTGATTTCTCAAAAAATGGACATTCTTTCTAATTACAAAAATTTTGGTTTAAAATTTTCAAAAAACTCGACGAAATTTCAAAAACGATAAAAATTGGCAAATCGGAAAAAAATCAAGTATCAAATTCTGTGCGAGTCACCTGTAATCAGCAATTTCATTGGAATACCCAGTCTCCAAGAACATGTCACTGTACTCAGGCGTTGAATAAGGAGTCCTGCGTATCATCAGTAAATGTGGCATCCAACTGAGAAACACGACACGAACCCAGTGGGACATGAAATGCGTCGAGGGTGATCGAAAATGCACATTCAACACGACAACTGTTATCCAGATCGATAGAGTCACTAGGATCATGGTGAAGAGTAGGTATTTTCCGAGTAGTGGTATGGCTAGTGATGTCGGTGGGATAATTTCGGCAAGTAGGAGGAAGAACACTGTGAGAGACAGTAGAATTGATGAACACAATGAAACCTGAAAGAAATTACATCGATAATCAATTGGTAAAGCGTGTTTCAAGTTGACTATTAATTGAGGGTCAAACAACCCTTAAAGGCATTTGGAGTTGAGGGTCAAAAGACCCTTAAAAGCGTTTTCAGTTGAGGATCAAGTGATGTTGAAGGTGAAACAATCCTTACGAACGTTGGAAGTTGAGGATCGAATGGACTTGTGGGTCAAACGATCCTTCAAAAGTTTGGAGTTGAGGGTCAAATGAGTCTTAAAACGTTTAGACTTAATGGTCAAATGATTTTGTTGAAGGCCAAACAACCCTTAAGGACCCTCGGAATTGAGGATCAATGATTCTGACGTTTTAAAGACCCCTGAGGACGTATAGTTGAGGGTCAAAAGATCCTTAAAAGCGTTTGTAGTTGAGGGTCAAGTGAATTTGTTTGAAGTTGAGGAAAGTTTGAAGTTCAGGATCAAATGGGCTCGTGGGTCAAACGATCCTTGAAACAGTTTGGAGTTGAGGGTCAAATGAGCTTAATGACCAAACAAACCTTAAGGGCGTTTTTAATTAAGGGTCTAGTGATTTTGAGGGTCAATTAACCTTCAAGGAGCATTTGAAGTTAAGGGCCAAAAAACCATTAAGGACCCTCGGAGTTGAGGATCAAATGATCCTGAAGTTTGAAAAACCCGTGAGGGGAAAACGACCCTTAAAAAAATTTGGAGTTGAGGGTCAAACGAATCTTAAGAAAGTTTGTACTTGAGGGTCAACTACTTTTGGGAATGAAACAGCAAGAACTTGAAATTAAAGGTCAAATGGTCCTAAGGGTCAAATGACCCTTAAAGGCATTGGGTGTTGAGGGTCAAATGGTATCACGAGTCACTTAACCCTCATAACCATTTGACCCTCACTTAAAAATTTAAAAAACCCCTAAATCGCACCAAATATTCGTTTCTTCTCCCATTTCCCTTTAGCCCAGTCCCTATCAATGGAACAAACCTTTTCACCGGAATCACTCGGCAGATAAAACACCAGAACCGTCAGAAAAGTGATCCCCACACAGGGAATAATCAAATTAACCGTATAAAACAGTGTTTTCCTCCGCATAGTAATATTAAACGTGACATCGGTATAGGGTTCAGTGCAGCAAGGGTAATACTCCTCATTTCTCGCTGCCGGCACCTCCAGGATGTCCCACTCCACGGACATGTAAAAATCACTGAGATCAATTCCCTTCTCCACCAGATTGTTCCCACTCGCCTGCAACATATGCCTCAAATCGACTTGGGCTCCATTGTAAGTCCAGGATCCGAACTTCATGAGGCAGGACTGCTCGTCGAAGGGGAAGTACTCGACGTTTATCTCGCATGATGACTTGTAGATCGCCGGGGGCTTCCAGTAGACCTCACCCTCCCACGTCACTGTCGCCTTTGTCATAAGGGTTACTTCGTAATTACCATCGGCGCTGGAATTTAATTGGAAAATTGTTAAATCTTGAAAAAAATGTCAAAGTGGACGAGTGGAGAGCGAAAATTAGGGTCAAACGCTCTCAGGGGTCCAACTGGGAAACTTTTTCATTGATTTAGTTGAGGGTCAAATGACTCTTAATGGCGTTTAGGTTGAAGGCCAAATGGTTTCGAGGGTCAAATGACCCTTAATGGTGTTTTGGTTGAAGGTCAAATGGTTTCGAGGGTCAAGAAATCAAAAAGATTCAGTTGACCCTTAATTATACTCGTCTTCAAGGGTCGTTTGACCCTCAAAATAGTTTCACCCTCAACTCCAGACGTCCTTAAAGGTCATTTGACCCTCAAAACCGTTTGACCCGCAACTAGTTTTGAGGTCAAACGATCCTTAAGGACGTGTGCAGTTGAGGGTCAATTGGTCTTGAGGGTCAAACAACCTTTAAGAAAGTTTAATGTTAAGGGTCAAGTGGCCTAAGGGATCACAGGGATCGGAAAGGGTCATTTGATAATCGTAAGGGTTGGTTGACCCTCAACGACTTGATTTTTTTCATTTCATAAATCTTTTTTAAATATATTTTAAAAAATGGAAAAATGAATAAATGAACGAAATAAACAACAGTACTTACTTATTATATAAAACAATATCTGGCAGCCAGATATTTTCTGAAGGAACATACAGCATTTTCACACCACCGTATTCGTCCGGATTCCATTGTAGTTTGTAATCGAACCATTTCTGTCACAAAAACAAATAAAATTAATTTCTCCACAACGATGACTCTGATAAATAAAATAAAAATGAAGAGCTCGGTAGAAAAATTTTACCTGCTCCACCCAAACGTTTGTTGTCATAACTTGATTCTTTAAATTCTGCAAAATAATTTACATAATTTTAGAGGATCGCTTCGTGATATTTACATTCTTTCTTTATCTACATTCATATTCTTAATGTCAAGAAAATTATAGATTTTTATTTGATACGGAGACTATTATGAATTTACCATTTCTATGAGTTGAGATAACTTTAACCCTAGCCAAACGATCAACGGCTGCGTATTATTAGCGACTGGTCGAATTAAACGATTGTAATTTGATAGTAGATCATCGTAAAGTCTCTTAGTGTCTGGATTAGCTTCGAACATTTTTGGTCCTGGTCCTATTCCTGAAAGAACATTTCGAACGTGCTATCATCAGTAATTTCAAGATTAATTATCTCAATGACGAGTGATTTTACGAGAAAATGTGACTAAACATTTTTTATGGAGAATTTTCTCAGCTTCAAAAAAGATCTTGTGACATTTTTCCGTAGAATGTATGGTTTTTGGGATAATTCTCAAATTAACTTTTTCATCACACTGTCCGTAAAGCGTCGTTTTGCGGACTCTTCGTGTCCGTCAGACGCCATTTAGGGACATTGTGAAAAAAAATTATGTTCGTCACTCGGCTGAAACCAAGTTTTCTGACTAGTGTGATGGCATTCTTCAGCTTCGCCTCGGTTTGCAATCTTCACACTCACCAGAAAATTTTTTTTCGGCCTTGTCACGAAAATAGCCATTTTTATCGTGGTACTATTCCTGCAATAAACATTTCGAATTTGCTGTCATCGGTAACTTTAAGATTAATTATCTCAATGACGAGTGATTTTACGAGAAAATGTGACAAAATATTTTTTATAGAGAATTTTCTCAGCTTCAAAAAAGATCTTGTGACACTTTTCCGTAGAATGCATGGTTTTGGGGATAATTCTCAGATTAACTTTTTCATCACTGTCCGTAAAGCGTCGTTTTGCGGACACTTCGTGTCCGTCAGACATCATTTAGGGATATTGTGAAGAAAAATTATGTTTGTCACGAAAATAGGCTTTTGTCGGCCTTGTGACGAAAATAGCCATTTAAACATTTCGAATTTGCTGTCATCAGTAATTTTACGTTAATATCTCAATGGCAAGTGATTTTACGAGAAAATGTGACAAAACATTTTTTATGGAGAATTTTCTCAGCTTCAAAAAAGATTTTGTGACATTTTTCCGTAGAATGCATCGTTTTTGAGATAATCCCAATATAAACAAACGTCTTTTGTTCAATTTTTTGTTTCACCCCTTTCATTCTTTGAAAAAAATGTTTTGATGTTGGACTCACCCTGTGAGGCAGTTTGCCACAATATCGTAAGTAGTATAAAATTTATGAGTTCACACTGCATCGTAATATCAATATATTTATAAAAACAAAAAAATACGTGTTATAAAAAGTTTTTGCGTTTTAGAATTTATTATTTGAGCCTTTGTGGTTTATTTAACAATTCTCACACTGCAAATTTATGGTATGAGCTTTTGCGGTGGTCACTACATACTGCAGAGTATGTACTGCGCGAAAGAGCTTCCACAGCATCCGTATATTTACGAATGGGTAAATCGATAAGCGGCGCACGCAAAGGTGTCTCGCCCTTCTTTGAACAGAGACGGGGAAAATTCATTGAAAAATTTTTATACCAATATTCAGTGAAAATCAAATGGTAATTGTTATTCCAAATTCATTATTTTGGCTGAACCAATTGTTTATATTAATTTTTTAATTTTTGCAAAACTACATTACAATAATTTTTCCATTTTCATTCAACTATTCGTCGATTTCCATTAATATGAAATGAAAAGAATTATTTTTCACAATAAAAATAGATTTAAAAAGTGCACTAATTACGCGTGAATCTTAAAAATGATAAAAATAAGGATTAAAAAATCGATTCATCATTTTTTTTTTCAAAACGATGGATCAATAATAGTAATAATAATAATAATAATAATAATAAAGAAAAAATTATGAATTTTTCTATGGAATTCCAAATAATAAAATATAATTATTTCAAAACATTTTATTAAACAATTTCAAATATAATTTTTTTCATCGAAATATTTAAAATGTTTCATCTGCAATATTGTTTGAATTCAAAACAGAACGAATTGGAAATAAATTTTTTTCTATGAAAAAAAAATGAATAAAAAAAAATGAAAAAAAAAATATAAAAAAATATTGAGAAATATTCTTATTCGTCATTAAAACATCTCAAAAACTAGAATTTTATTTATTAACCACATGGGTTACTCGTGAAATTTCGTAAAATTGTATTTTTGAATTTTTAATAATTATTTTTAGAGCTAAATGAATTGACAGTTCTATTTCCGAAACGATCGAATATAAATAATCCCAAATAATAAAATATAATTATTTCAAAACATTTTATTAAACAATTTCAAATATAATTTTTTTCATCGAAATATTTAAAATGTTTCATCTGCAATATTGTTTGAATTCAAAACAGAACGAATTGGAAATAAATTTTTTTCTATGAAAAAAAAATGAATAAAAAAAAATGAAAAAAAAAATATAAAAAAATATTGAGAAATATTCTTATTCGTCATTAAAACATCTCAAAAACTAGAATTTTATTTATTAACCACATGGGTACTCGTGAAATTTCGTAAAATTGTATTTTTGAATTTTTAATAATTATTTTTAGAGCTAAATGAATTGACAGTTCTATTTCCAAAACGATCGAATATAAATAATCCCAAACAAACCGGTAATATTCTAGGATTGAAAGTCCCCCACCGATACATATTTCAAGGCCAAACCGGTTTCTACCTGATGATGTCTAGTGTCCGCCGTCTGTAGTTGTTCTATCAGTTCCGAACCTCTGGAGTCAACAAACGAGACGTCAAAATATGTTCCACATAAATTCGAGGCTCATTATCCAGCGCAAAAATCGGTTGATATCGCAATTTAGTTCCCTCCCGGAGATACTAGTGTCCGAATTGAACGGAATAAAAGCAGCTGGCACCTGGAAAAATGAGAGGGTCATAACGTCTCCTCAGAGAACCGAAATTTCGTTGACGAGCGGACAGGAAGTGCTCAATTTTTGCGCCAATAATTATCTGGGACTGGCGGTAATTGAACGATAATTCGATAAATAAATACTTCTAGTTATTCCTAGTTGGACCCAGAAAATTCATTTCGAGGAATTCCTGTAGGTAATGTCTCAATAGAAAAAAGGTGCATGAAAAAACTCAACAGATATTTTTTTAAATAGCAAAAATTTTCTATTGGACATTTTTTATTTAAAAAATTGCACAGAAAAGCTGATATTTTATAATAATGGCTTGAAAATCAGACGTTTTTTAAACCTACGAGAACAGGGCGCGCGCTTCGCGCTCAAAAATATCAAATTTTCTGTTTTTTCGTTTGATTTTCTTGATGAGAAGAAAATAAAAATAGGATGAAAAAAAATTTGAAAATTTGAGTCGAGCAAATTCTATAGAAAATATATGAAAAGAATAAGTCATATAGAAAAATCGAACTCTGTTGACTTTTTCTATTAAATGTTTTCGACTGAACATGTGAATAGAATCAGCCGAAAACTAACAGAAAGTTTGATAGAAATTCAATAGAATTTTGTAACGAATTCGATAGGTTTTTCTATTAATTTTTTTTGTGCGTGTTAGAATAACAGAGAAATCGTAGCAGCAGCGAAATCCGCCCTGGATAAGTACGGCGCGGGTCTAAGCTCCGTGAGATTCATCTGCGGAACTCAGGACATTCATCGGGATTTGGAGAGAAAAATAGCGGAGTTTCATGAACGCGAGGATGCAATTGTTTACGCCTCTTGTTTCGATGCTAATGCCGGATTGTTTGAAATTCTCACGACCCCGGAGGACGCTGTTATCAGTGATGAGTTGAATCACGCCTCGATCATCGATGGAATTCGCTTATGCAAAGCGAAAAAATTCAGGTAAAATAAAAAAAAGATTTAGCCGATAATTACAATTAGAATATCTCAAAATCTTGAGATTGATTTTAAGAATTTTACATTTTCATCTTCAAGAGTTCTAATTAAATTTCTAAGTACGATCTGATTCGTTCAAATAATTTAATTCATTGATGGCATATCAACAAATGATTATTTTTATTTTTTTTCCTGATTTCAGATTTTTTAAACAATTTCTCGTCTATTTTTATTTGAAATTTCATTTCAAGGTTCTTTTTATTCTTCTTCTTTTCGTTATGTTTTGGCTTTTTTCTCATTGTGAGGGACGATTTTATCACAGATATAAACACAGAGATATGAAAGATCTAGAGTCAAAGCTCGAGGAGAGTAAATCCTGCAGAATGCGGGTGATAGCGACTGACGGAATTTTTTCCATGGACGGAAATATAGCGCCTCTTCCAGAAATCATTAAATTAGCTAAGAAATACGATGCTATTACCTTCGTAGATGACTGTCATGCAACTGGATTCTTCGGGAGAACTGGAAGGTAACGGCCTAAAACGAAATAATTGTTAATTTCGAAATAGTAGGGGAGAGTGGGGCAATGTAAAAACCGAAAAACGACTATTTGACGCGATTCAAGCAAAAAAAAATTTTTTATCAACTTCTTTTCATTAACTTGTTTATAAATTTTTTATTATCATTAGGAGTACTAATGCGAATAATAAATTTCTATTCGTTACGCGGAGCGTGCGTAAAATTTCACTTTACCCACAAGTGATGAAAAAGAACTTTGATCGAAGCCCGATTATCTCGATAACGAGTGATTTTAGAAAAAAACATTATCCGACTTTTTTGTACCTCATGAAATTTCCAACAAAAACTGTTTTTTCACATTTTTCAATACAATCACTCGATACCGAGATTATTTCGTGATTATGTGGATTGCCCCCGAAATCGAAGCGATGAAACAGCCCTTATAATTTTCGTAATTATCTTGATGAGGAGTAGTTGGAGAAGAAAATGTCATAAGATCTTTTCTATGGGAAATTAAATTTCCCACATAAAATTTCTTCTGACATTTTTCGATAGAACCCCTTGTTGCCAGGATAATTCAACAATTATCAACAAACAACAAAACTTCTTCAAATCTCGTAATGTTCAAATTGAGTAATTCCTCCGAAAAAATGGCAAAAGCCTCTTCGTGAAGAATGTGATTGACTAAAAAAATGTTTCTCTAAACGCGTACAAAAATAAATAGTTTCCTACCGAATTCGCTCGGCTTTTCTAAAAAATCTGCATCAATCATTACTTTAGTAATATTATGAGAAGATGCATCTTACAATTAATTATTGTAAACGACAATAATTAATTCAGTTTATACTCACTTTATATGTAATTCAGTTTTTCTGAGTAAACTTAATTAGTTTTTCCTTATCTTCCTTGAAATTTGAAAATTTAAATTGATGGTTAATTAAAATTAATATTATTATTTTTAATTATTATAATCAAAACATTGTTGAGTAAAATCAACAATGGGCTTATTCAAAAATTAACTGGAATTAAAAATTACGATTCTGCCGAAGTCTGAAAAAAATCAATTTCTCCACAAAAATAAATCCTAAAAAAATCCAGAGGGACTGAGGAGTACTTTGACCACCTCGGGCAAGTGGACATAATAAACTCTACCCTGGGGAAGGCCCTGGGGGGAGCAGCTGGTGGATACACAACGAGCTCCAAGGCTCTGGTGGACTTGCTGCGCCAGAGAAGTCGTCCCTATTTGTTCTCCAACTCGCTCCCACCCCCAGTCGTTGCCTCGGGGATGAAGGCCCTTGAGCTAATCATGAATAATTCAGAACTCCTGGACCAGTTGAAGGAGAACACCCAACGGTTCAGGTCAGCCATGACCGCAGCAGGATTCGTCATCAGTGGAGAGAATCATCCAATCAGTCCTGTGATGATTGGGGATGCAAAATTGGCGTCTGATTTTGCTGACAAGATGCTGGGTATTTTATTATTTCACTCCTCACATATTTTTTTTCAATAAATTGTTGATGTCTCAACTGATTTTCAATTTAATAATAATTAGTTCGTGCGTTTATTGTGGTTTTTTTCTGATTTAGAAAGAGGAATTTATGTGATTGGCTTCAGTTATCCAGTTGTGCCCAAAGGAAAAGCTAGGATTCGTGTGCAATTGAGTGCAGTCCACACGAGAGAGGATATTGACAGAGCTGTCAATGCATTCACTGAAATTGGAAAAGAACTGAACGTCATTTAATCGCAGGATTCAAATACAAAACTCTTCCCTTCATTTTTCAAACGAATTATTTCAACAGTTCACAAATCACAATTATTTCACAGATTCACGAATCTTCTCTGGGTGACATTTCGATTGTAAATATAAAGAAATAAATTGCAAAAATGAAAAATAATGAAATTTTTACAATGATAAAATATAAATTCTATTGCTGTAGTTAGTCCTATGGAATTTAAAATTTATGAATCATTGTTGCTATTTTTTTCTTCAATTTCTGATATTTTCACGAGCAGACGATCTTTTCCTACGGTACTTCCCACTGAACACAAGATTTCTTCAACAGTTCCTGCGGATGGTGCTCTAATTAAATGCTGTAACGATATTAAAGAATACGTAGATTATTCTTGGATCTTTATTTTTCTGAGAAAAGGATTCGATTGATCAATTAATTTCATGGGTTTACCTCCATTTTCATGGCAACAATCACAACCAGAGGGTCTCCTTTGCTCACAACATCAGCTTTCGACACTAAAATTTTGTCTACAACACCTGGCATTGGTGAAACAGCAACACCAGCTAAATCGTCACTTATACTCGATAATTTTTTAATATAATCTGGCTGTGGTATGATGAATTTCCATGCTCGATCCTGTTATTTCAGTGGAATATTGAAGTAAAATCTTGTCAATTGATCGATAAAAAATATGAATTCAGTAATGAAACGATGAAATGAGCCAATCTACGTCAGTATTTGTTGAATATCTCGCAATCTGGGAGAATGAAGGCTGTATAATCTCCAGAAAAAATTAGAAAGGAAATAAAATTGATGTTCTTGATTTGAATAATTTCCTCCAGTGAGTTAATTATTAATAATTAATAAAAAATTTCCAATTTTAATCAGCTTTCAAGTCATTAAACGACTGTAAAATTGTATTTGAATATTCGAATTAATAATAATTAATAATATTTTAATATTCTATTAAAATTATTATTAATTATTATTATTGAAATTATTTTAAACGAGAGAAATTTCATTCGAATAAATTTCTATTCTTCATAATCATCAAAATTATCGAATAGTAAAATAGACCAGTAAAACTATTTCATTTCAAATTTCGAAACCGACTGACCAAATCCCAATAACCGAATATTTTCAAAAACTTGAACGAAAAATGTCGAATAAATAAAACCAAAAAGGAAATAATTACATTCGTGAAGACATGAAGTTCATCGTTAAATCTGCAGATACAGGATTTTGTTTTCACCCCCTCGACAACACTCCTGAGCACAAGATCATCGTCGCCCTGTGTCAAATGGCCCTCGACCCTTCTCCACGGTCCAATGTCATTGATCCTCATGAGGTAGACATCAGGCTGCTCATACTTAACATCAACTACGAAATCATCCCCCATAAAGTTCAGTTTGAACCTCTTCTTCAGGGAGTGGTTCAACCTCATCCCCAGTTCTGTCTTGAAGGGGCTGAAGGGGTCCTTGGTGTCGAGGGCAGCCTTGAGGGCAGACAAATCTTCGGAGAGGATTAATCCGAGAACTCCCTGGGCGAGAACAGCACTTGGCGGCTGGAGTCTGGGGAATAATGAGTCTAGATTCTCATCGATGAAGCCTGTGTGAACGTCACCAGCTTGAAACTTGGGGTGACGACACAGGTCTTTTACGAATTCTACGTTTGTTTCTACTCCAGCTATCTAAAAATATAAATAATTATTTGATAATGATTAATAATTAATGATGAATTATTAATTATTAATAATTAATGATGAATTATTAATTATTAATAATTAACGATGAATTATTAATTATTAATTATTAATTATCAATGATTAATTATCAATTATATTTGTGTTTTAAAAAAATAATTAATTTGGAGTTAATTTTGTGTGAATTTTTAAAAAAATATTTTCTTATTTTTTTGAAATTTAGATAATCACTCATTTAAGGAAGATTTATTTATTTCAATTAATGTCTTTCCTTTAAAACTGACTATCATTGAATCACTTACATTGTACTCTGACAATTTCGTCCGTAATATGTCCAGTGCTTCAGCTCTATTGCTCCCCCAAACAACTAATTTAGCAATCATCGGATCATAATGAACAGAAACTTCGTCGCCTTCCCTCACTCCAGTCTCCACTCTAATATTTTCGGATGTCTTTGGAGGACTCAGGTGTACAAGGGGACCTGCTCGTGGCAGAAATCCACCCCTGGGATCCTTAAAAAGAAATTCACCTCAATTTTTCATGTATCGAGGAAAATTGTATTTTTTATTCATTTTAATGCAGAAAACGTAAAAGATTTTCTACATTTTAGATATTAAAAAAATCGAATTAAGAATGATGATGATGATGATGATGATTGTGATTATTATTATTATTATTATTATTATTATTGATTCGAGTAAATTAATAAAAAAAAATATTATTATAATTTGGAAAGTCCAATTATTAACAATTGGACTTCTCTTCTTCAAGAATTTTTGAAATTCGAATAAAAAATTATTCTATTCTCCTTGAGAACTTCTTCACGATTGAATGCATGAATTTGGAAATACCTCAGCATAAATTCTAGCTTCGAAAGCATGCCCATTGATGCTGAGCTGATCCTGAGTGAGTGGAAGTTTCTCTCCAGCAGCGATATTGAGCTGCCACTCAACCAAATCGAGTCCAGTGATCGCTTCTGTCACAGGATGCTCGACCTGCAGGCGAGTATTCATCTCCATGAAGTAGAAACTTTGATCGTTTCTGTCGTAGATGAATTCCACAGTGCCTGCACCAACGTAGCCCACTGCCTTGGCTGCTCTCACTGCTGCTTCCCCTATTTCTCTTCTGACTTTGTCAGACAGTCCTGGCTGGAACATGAGGCGAATCTCCTAACTCATCTCATCTCTGCAATGTTCTTTATCAATTGGATTTTTATCGGTTATTCAATTAATTTCAGAAGAAATTTAACAAGTTGATTTTTTTCATCCTTTCAAATCCGTAAAAATCGTAGTAATGAGAAGTCTTAGGAGAAAATGTCATAGAACATTTGTTGTTGAAAATTTTGTCAGCTACAAAAACAGTTTTATGACATTTTCTCGTAGAACCACTCGTTTTCAAGATAATTACGTACTTAACAAAAGTTCAAATTTTGAAATTCGAACCAAACCGATTTTCCCTTATCATTTATCATTAGAATATCTCGATAACGAGTGGTTCTAAGAGAAAACATCAAATTACAAGTTTCGTTCAAAATTTAATTCTCTCTAAAAAACTCTTATGTCATTTTCTCGTGAAACTGCTCGTTTCTGAGATAAATGCATCATTAACGAAAATGTCAGGTTTAAAATTTTGAAAGAATCCTTTTGTTCTCTTCTCATTGAGCAATAAAACCTGTTGATAACGACTAATTTTGAAAGAAAATGATCAAGTAACACATCTTTTATTCACAGCTCACTCCTCTCCAAAAACTTTCCCCCCAGAATTCCCGTTTTAAAGAAATAATACCACAATTTCCAAAAAAGTAAAATTTCAAGGAATTGGAAAAATTAGAAAAAAATATATAAAATCAAGTCAGAGGCGAATGGATACCGCAGGGGCTTCCTCGATGACCTTCTGGTGTCTCCTCTGCACTGAGCAGTCTCTCTCGAATAAATAGACAGCATTGCCATGCTGATCAGCGAATATCTGCACCTCCACGTGCCTCGGGTTCTGCACGTACTTCTCCAACAGAACATCAGAGTCCCCAAATGCCTTCTGAGCTTCTGTTCGCGCTGACTCCAATGCCTCCACGAAACTCCTCTCATCCTTGGCTATTCTCATTCCCTTGCCTCCACCACCACGTACTGCCTTTATCATGAGAGGAAAACCGATCTTCTTGGCCTCTGCGAGGAGAGTTTCGTTTGACTGATCACCAGAATGATATCCTAATAACAAAAAGGATTCTCTTTAATCTGTGAAGGGTGACCTATCACTTGATAATGAATTAATCAATTTCTTAATTCGTTAATTAATTGGTTAATCAATTATCTCGATGAATCAAAGCAGAAGTGAAGGATATTGTCATTAAAAAATGTGTGAACACACGACAAAAAACTGTAGAAACGGCTAGGATTTCTATTGAGACAATTTGTAGAGAAATTTCGTGAAATGAATTTTCCAATTTTTTTCCACTCGATTTTTCCTCTCTTTTCATGAAAAAATGAAAACATATCAATAGACTAAGTTGTACATTTCTATTGAAAATAATGCGCGTATAAGCTGTCGAATTTTTCAATAGAATCGGCCAAAAAATAATAGGAAGTACAATAGAAATTCAATAAGCTGAATGCAATGAAAAATTATATTGAAGAATCGAAGGAACGAAGTATTGTAATACTCTAGAATTGTTATGTGCACATATCAAAACACACGACGTACTCTGTAAGGTAGAGATTTACCAGCTGTGCTAACTTTCTCAATAAACGATAATAATAATAATAATAATAATAATAATAATAATAATAATAGAATTTTCCAGCCAATTCGCTTCAACAATATATTTTTTTATAGCAAAAAAAACAGTGGGGGGCGAAGCCCCCCGAGGTAGAGAAAGAGGGGGCAAAGCCCCCTCGGGATAGGCGCAAAGACGGGACCGCCCCCGGAGTCGGTAGCTCCGTCCCCGTTTCATCTACTCCGCCCCCCCGCCAGTAGATGAAGAGGGGGCGGGGCCCCCTTAGCATAGCATAGCTGGATTCCAGAGCTGGCCCCGGGTAGACAAAGAGGGGGTGAAATCCCCCGGAAAGACAAAGAGGGGGTGAAACCCCCCGAATAGACAAAAGGGGGTGAAGCCCCCCGGGGATAGATCAAGGGGGGCCAAGCCTCCCATGTATTCCAATAGGGGGCGAAATCCCCCGGGCAGTCAAAGAGGGGGCGAAGGGACCCGGGGGTAGGTGAAGGGGGGCCAAGCCCCCCCGGTATTCCAATAGGGGGCGAAACCCTAGTATTTCAAATACTAATAATACTATAAATACTAGTAATTCAGGAATGAATGATTGTTTGCTATCGTGGTAAATACCAGTGATAATTGGGACCTCAGCGCATAGACAAAGAGGGGGTGAAACCCCCCGGGTAGACAAAGAGAGGGCGAAGTCCCCCAGGGATAAATGAAGGGGGGCCAAGCCCCCCAGGTATTCCAATAGGGGGCGAAACCCCCCGGGTACACAAAGAAAGGACGAAGCCCCCCGGGAATAGGTAAAGGGGGGGGGCCAAGCCCCCCACGTATTCCAATAGGGGGCGAAACGTTTTTATTTCAAATACTAATAATACTACAAAGACTAGTAATTCAGGAATGAATTATTGTTTGCTCTCGTGGTAAATATCAGTGATAATTGGGACCTCAGCGCATAGACACAGAGGGGGTGAAACCCCCCGGGTAGACAAAGAGAGGGCGAAGCCCCCCAGGGATAAGTGAAGGGGAGGCCAAGCCCCCCAGGTATTCCAATAGGGGGCGAAACCCCCCGGGTAGACAAAGAGGGGGCGAAGCCCCCCGGGAATAGGTAAAGGGGGCGCCAAGCCCCCCCCACGTATTTCCATAGGGGGCGAAACCCTAGTATTTCAAATACTAATAATACTAGTAATTCAGGAATGACTTATTGTTTGCTATCGTGGTAAATATCAGTGATAATTGGGACCTCAGCGCATAAACACAGAGGGGGTGAAACCCCCCGGGTAGACAAAGAGAGGGCGAAGCCTCCCAGGGATAAGTGAAGGGGAGGCCAAGCCCCCCAGGTATTCCAATAGGGGGCGAACCCCCCCGGGTAGACAAAGAGGGGGCGAAGCCCCCCGGGAATAGGTAAAGGGGGGGCCAAGCCCCCCCCCACGTATTTCCATAGGGGGCGAAACTCTAGTATTTCAAATACTAATAATACTACAAATACTAGTAATTCAGGAATGAATTATTGTTTGCTCTCGTGGTAAATACCAGTGATAATTGGGACCCCAGCGCGACTCATAATATCCTTAGATGTGCTCTTAATCCCCATATCCCTAATGGCAGTGGCTGGAGGTCCAATGAAGATGATATTTTCTTTCCTACACAAATCCGCGAATTCCATATTCTCGGATAGGAATCCATATCCGGGATGGATCGCCTGGCACTTTGCCTTCTTGGCGACATTTATTATTTTATCCTGCCTCAGGTAACTCTGGGCTGAGGCTGGTGGACCGATGTGGTAAGCTTCATCGGCGGCGTCTACGTGCATGGATTTCGCGTCAGCATCGCTGTATACAGCTACTGTTTTCACTCCGAGCTTCTTCGCGGTTTTCTGAATTCGACAAGCTATTTCTCCCCTATTGGCTATCAGCACCTATTTGTTGTAAATGGCGCAAATATTATGCACGCAAATTAATTGAAAAGGAAAACATTGTACACATTTTTTATTTATAAATGAATAATTGAAATTGTAAAATGTTTTATAAATAAATAAGAAATTGGAAAATGTTCAGAAACTTGGGGTCAAATGGGGCTCAAATGAAAGTTCTGATGTTCGATTGCAAAAATAGAAAAGCATTTTACTGGAGGAAAAATTGTCAAAGTACTTGGATAAGTTGAAAATTTGGTAGCTTTTCTCCAATTTTTTTGCAAAAAACATTTCTAGAAGATAATGATCATGAAAAATTTCCTCAATTTTCGTAAACAACAATGAATTATGTTAAAAAATTAAATTATATTTTATAAAGCCCCCAAAAATTACGATAATAATGAACAACGAAAAAATAACAATGGAATATAACTCAGCAATAATTTACCTTGTTTATTCTCTGACTGAGTGAGACGTGAGAAGAAAATCCACACTCACCCAGACCGCTGAAGTGATATCTACAAAAGAGCGTGAATAAAACACTTCATGAATGATAAAGTCGCCGAAACCTCTTACCTCTTAGCCAGACTTTTTCCGAGATGATGGAACATGATGAGAAGCGGATCAAGACCAATTTCATCACATAAAAAATCTCAAAACCATCACTTCATCGCAATGAATTTAAAATTTACGTCCAATCTGATAGGCAGATTAATTCCACATGTACTGTACTCTTTTACATTCGATGTAAATGACGAAATAGCCATCGTGATAGGTCGATGTGGGCACTTGTTTGCATAAAATTCTCGGAATTTGATAAGATATAATGAATGTGCGTGCGTGTATCGTGTGTATCATTCATAAACTGTTTTACCGACTGATGATCGATCGATCGACGAATCTCTCGATTACGATCCAGCGGTCAATGAACGCGCCAGTCCACTACATGCAATGAATTCAGTTCACCACATGAACTCCTGATGTTGACATGCTGAAAGGAAGTTGTCATCTCAGACGTCTCATCTGTAACAGATTGAAGATCCATCGATTTTTCATCTATTTTTCAAATAAAATGCCAGAGCGAAAGAAAATACATTGCCGTGTATGCCGCAGAAAACTTCGCATTGAAGTAAAAATGTCACGATAGTATGGGAGAAACGAAGGCACAACAAAATGCTCTCCTGCAACCCTTCGCAATTTTCCTCAACAGGGCACTGCCTATAAGACACTCCACATTGTAACGCAATAGCAACAAAGCGATGTCTCATCTATAATAGATAATCCATTTGCGGCGTACAGCCGCAAAGGGGAGAGATGATGTCTCTTCGACGACAATATTTCCCCCCTTTTTCAGTCATTCAGAAGAACTTCTAGTGTATTATCGACATCTGGCGATAATAAGATGATGACAGTAGAATTTCAAATGAAGTACGTTGAACGTACCTCGGTAACCATCGCGTCATTCTGGCGCGTCGAGTCGAAAAGTTCACATCATATCGTATAGCCTGTTGCGTCTATGAACGGGGACACCCCCGCTGAAGGGGCTTGAAATAACTAACGCTGTAGTAAGTGAAGTTCATTTATAACGGTACTCAACGTTATCGAGGACACAATTTGTGTAACGAAAATTGAGAATCACATTATAATTGACTTTTTAAATTTTGTTGGAGTTATATGACGAGTGAATGATTGGAAAAACAAGTGGAAATATTGTCAATGTGATGACATGAATGCAAGACGCTGAGTCGAATGACTATATAATAGTCAATACAATACATTCTTCATCATTTTTCCATTAATAATTACACATTTTTTCATTCATAATCTAAAGGTGCGTCACATTTTTTCTCAATTTCTCGTACTTTCTTCCATTCAAATCGACAGTTTTGTTAACAGCGCTGCCTCGCCTTACCTCTTTTTCATACTTAGGTAAGAAATTGGCATGGAGTATCGTATAATTTGCATATGCTGAATGTGCAATAGTAGCGTGAAATATGAAACGACATAATAATAGTGCGTTCAACCCCAGGGGTTGGAATCATGGTATTACTCCGAGAGAATTTTGTTTACCTACAGACCATCGGTCTCTGGTCACCGGTTACCTGGCCATCGGATAGTTGGAAGTCGCGAGCTTACAGGCTTTACACGACTTTCCTAATCACCGCGACATATTGGTTCGGCATAACCGAATCAATCAGTTTGTTTACCATCGTTAACAGCATCGAGGATTTCTCTGATAGTTGTTTTATGCTTCTGACAACGATAGTTGTTTGTTTTAAAGTAGATACGATTTTGTCAAAAAAATCAGAAATTGTAGCATTGATCGAGGCGTTTGAAGTCTACCCACACAAGCCGATGAACGCTGACGAGGAGAGGATCCAGACGGAATTCCAAGCTCGCATCAGGTGAGTCTCTGACACGCTGAGAGAAAAATTTATTGATGCGAAACAAATGTGTTTAGCATCAACGAAATTACCTCTCCGTACAATAGGGAACACACATTTTTTTCAAGTTTGTCAAATTTTTCTCTCGACTCGTTCTATGGGTCGTAAATATAATATTCCATAACAAAATTGGATTTTTATATAGCTTATTAATGTTAATAATAAATTCAAAGTTGAGTGTATTTTCGAGATTGTTACATATAGATTCAGATAAAAGAATGAAAAATAAATGCGTATGTTCCCTTTTAGTCAAGTCAACTCAGATATATTTACCTGAAAATATTGTATTCATTTGATGTAAAGATTAATCTCCTGCATTTGCGGTGGATTCGTAGAGGTTTCTGCATGGATCATGACAATCTCCGTGTTCTTTCAAGAAATCCCTTATGGTGATTTACCGTATAAAGCATGGATACCTTATAGCTATTCGAAACCTGGCGTGTATTGGTTCACATTTTGTTTACAATTACTTGTCGTTGTTTTTTTGGCTAACGTCGCTATTGGGTTTGATACGATTATATATGCTTTATTTTTGCTGATATGTTCTCAGTTCAATATTTTGCTACATCGAGTGACAAAGGCTATTGATGAATTTCCTACTAACAACACATCAAAAATAGATATTTGTGAACGTAAAATTATCGATTGCGTTGTATATCATCGAGCTATTTTCAAGTATTTTGCATATTCATCGGATAATTATGCCATTCAATTGATAAATAGTCAAGTACAAGTAATATCCTTCGAATGATTTCAGAATTTCCGCCAAAATTAATTTGCTATTTAGGAGGATTATCTTTGTCCAATACACAGCGAGTACAATCGTCATATGTTTCAGTGTCTTTATGATATCGCAAGTGCCATTGCTATCTACAAAAGCTTTGTTTTTTTTCCTGTATTTTATATGCATGCTGACACAGATTTTTGTGATTTGTGCTCTAGCTGACGAAGTAACGGTTGAAGTAATATATCCATCAAATGAGAATTGAGGAAAACGAGTGGAACTATATTTTTTTCTTTCAGTGTGAAAATGTCATAATCGGTATTTACAATACGAAATGGTACCACCTGACAAATCGTACAAAGGGATACCTAGTTCTGATGATGGTTCGCACATTGAGACCAGTTGTTTTCACGAGTGGTCATATAATAGTTCTTTCTCTCAATTCTTTCAGCAATGTATGTGAATTGATGCAATATATTTGACCCATTAAAATGAATAATTTTTTACAGCTTCTTAAGCGATCTTACTCCATCTATACCGTGCTTCAGCAAAATTCGAAGTGATTGGTAAGGAGAAATTAACGACGAAAGAGAACATCACGTCTGAGAAAAAGAAGTATGCAAGTACTGGAATTGTTCAGTGCCTTTTTTATTCAGCAAGAAACATTATCACATGAATGTGAATTCACTCTGGTGTCATCATTCCGGAGGACAATGATTTCGTGATCATGTGCACATAGTAATTGTAATCATATCGCATTGGGATCGCAGATGAAATACAAGTCTTCATTACTCACTTGGTACGTCTAATGTTACGTGACGAATTGAAAATCGCAATAGGTTTATCCTAGAGTATTTGCCGAAAAAATTTCGGTAAGACTGTGACAGTCACTCAGTCAAATAAATTTTCAATTTGGCTGAAAATTGGGAATTGGGGAGGAAAATCCCGGAGCGAAAGATGAGCCGAAAGTACATATTCCAATTTGGAATATGAATACCTGGTGTTTTGCATTTCTAAACACCACCAGTCTCTACAACTCCCGTCGTTGCCCTGTGTGCGAAAGAAACTTTTGCATTGAAGTAAAAATTTCACGATACTATGGGAGAACGGGGGCACAACAAAATGCTCTCCTGCAACCCTTCGCACTTTTCCTCAACAGGGCACTGCCTATAAGACACTCCACATTGTAACGCAACAGCAACAAAGCGATGTCTCATCTGTAATAGATAAGCCATTCGCGGCGTATAGCCGCAAAGGGGAGAGATGATGTCTCTTCGACGACAATATTTCCCCCCTTTTTCAGTCATTCAGAAGAACTTCTAGTGTATTATCGACATCTGGCGATAATAAGATGATGACAGTAGAATTTCAAATGAAGTACGTTGAACGTACCTCGGTAACCATCGCGTCATACTGGCGCGTCGAGTCGAAGAGTTCACATCATATCGTATAGCCTGTTGCGTCTATGAACGGGGACGCAGTCGCTGAAGGGCTTGAAATAACTAACGCTGTAGTAAGGGAAGTTCATTTATAACGGTACTCAACGTTATCGAGGACACAATTTGTGTAACGAAAATTGAGAATCACATTATAATTGACTTTTTAAATTTTGTTGGAGTTATATGACGAGTGAATGATTGGAAAAACAAGTGGAAATATTGTCAATGTGATGACATGAATGCAAGACGCTGAGTCGAATGACTATATAATAGTCAATACAATACATTCTTCATCATTTTTCCATTAATCATTACACATTTTTTCATTCATAATCTAAAGGTGAGTCACATTTTTTCTCAATTTCTCGTACTTTCTTCCTCTCAAATCGACAGTTTTGTTAACAGCGCTGCCTCGCCTTACCTCATTTTCATACTTAGGTAAGAAATTGGCATGGAGTATCGTATAATTTGCATATGCTGAATGTGCAATAGTAGCGTGAAATATGAAACGACATAATAATAGTGCGTTCAACCCCAGGGGTTGGAATCATGGTATTACTCCGAGAGCATTTTGTTTACCTACAGACCATCGGTCTCTGGACACCAGTTACCTGGCCATCGGATAGTTGGAAGTTGCGAGCTTACAGGCTTTACACCGCTTCCCTAATCACCGCGACATATTGGTTCGGCATAACCGAATCAATCAGTTTGTTTACCATCGTTAACAGCATCGAGGATTTCTCTGATAGTTGTTTTATGCTTCTGACAACGATAGTTGTTTGTGTTAAAGTAGATATGGTTTTATCGAAAAAAACAGAAATTATAGCATTGATCGATGCACTTGAAGCCTATCCTCACAAGCCGATGAACGCTGACGAGGAGAGGATCCAGGCGAAATTCAATGCTCGCATCAGGTGAGTGTCTGTCACGCTGAGAGAAAAATTTATTTGTGCCAAATAAATGTGTTTAGCATCAATGAAATTTGTTCTCCACACAATTAGCGAAGTAAACTTGAATAAACTCATCTGAAATTATTGTGCTCATTTGCTGTGAAGATTAATCTCCTGTATTTATGGTGGATTTGGAGAAATTTCTGTATGGGTCATGACAATCTCCGTGTTCTTTCAAGAAATTCCTTATGGTGATTTACCGTATAAAGCATGGCTACCCTATGATTATTCCAACTTTGCCATGTATTGGTCCACATTTTACTTGCAATTATTGGCTGTCATTTTCGTGGCTAGCGTAGACTGTGCTTTCGATACGACTCTTATAGGACTCATCATACTAATATGCGCTCAATTCAACATCTTGAGAGCTCGATTGGAGAGAGCGGTTGATGAATTCGAGACTGGAGAATTGAAATTTCAAGAAGACATCTCGAATGTCGTAAAAATTTGTGAAAATCGAATCGTTGATTGCGTTAAATATCATCGAGCAATTTTCAAGTACGTTTAACAAATCCATTTGTAGCAAATAATGAACAAATCCCAATTTTCATCAATCGTGTTAATTTTCGAAAACATGTGACACCTTTCGAGTGATTCTAGACTTTCCCAGACGATAAATTATCTGTACAGATGGATAATATTTGTGCAGTACTCGGCGAGTACGATCATCATATGTATCAGTATATTCATGCTATCGCAAGTGCCACTCCTGTCTACAAAAGCCTTGTTTTTTCTCTTGTATTTCATGTGCATGCTGATACAAATTTTCACACTCTGCGCTGTAGCGGGTCAAGCAACGATTGAAGTAATATACCACGTATGAAAGAATCTAATAAAAAAATCTAGCCAATTCGTTAGACAATTATATTGGATTTCTATAAAATTTAGTCGGCTCAAATGTTCCAAGTTAATTTTTTCAATGTTATCTGTGAAAAAAAAGTATTCTGATATAAAATATTCTAGTAATTAATTATATTAAAAAATCAACTTCTATTCACCTTTTCCCTGGAATATTTTTTATTGAACATTTTAATAGAATTGGCTAGGTTTTTCTATTGAATTTTTTCAATCACATGAAAATTAAGGATGTTCGACACCCTTTTAGCCAAAATTGACGTTGTTTTCATTTTTCTGGCAAATTATCGATGGGAGTGACGTGAAAAAATATAACGATTTTGTGGTTTGTCATTCTTTAATGGCTCACGAAGTTGCGTAGTGGTGCGATAATTTTCATGCGTTTTTTCTACAGTTTTGTGATTCTTTTTAAAGGTTTAGAGAAAACGCAGGGAAATGTTCGCACCACCTTAAAATTTCGTCAGTCATTAAATAATGACAAAACGCAAAAACGTTATATTTTTTCACCTCAATTCCATCATAAGTTTGCCAGAAAAATTAAAAAAACGTGAATTTTGGCAGAAAGGGTGTAGAACATCCTTAAACATCGACGAATGGAACTGTGAATTACACGATTTTCAGTGTGAAAATGTCCTGACTGGTATTTACAACACAAAATGGTACATCTTGACAAATCGTGCGAAAAGTTATTTAGTTCTTATGATGGTTCGCACGTTGCGACCCGTTGTCTTCATGAGTGGTTACGTAATCGTTCTTTCCCTGGATGCTTTTAGTAATGTATGTTAATGACTGTCATAGTTTGTACAGCTATAATGAGTAATTCTTTTCAGCTTTTGAAACGATCTTACTCTGCTTATACAATGCTCCAGCAAAATTCTCGCAAATGACGTCAACATGTCAACATGTCAACATGCCAACATGTTATGTGAATAATAGTCTTTCGAATTTTCAAGTCTGAGCCAAGAGGATGTATTATCATTCATCCAAGAACGATAGAATACGTTCTCTGATTATGATTATACATATAGTGATGGGATCTATAATACGATATAGTCTATGTTATGAAGAAACTTATTGTTGAAGATGCAGGTCATTTCACGTATCACCTTTCACTGTGGCTGTTCGCACTTTTTCAATTGATCCTCCCTCTCACCATATAGAGAATTTGTAATCAATCACCCACGCAACCAGATTTGCATGTTTCCAAACTACTATCTAATACTCAGTACGCAGCTAGTCGATATACCGCGAAGTTCTCGATCTCCTCCACAGGAGAGAATAAAAATCCCGTTAAAACAGGCTATTCGCATGCGAATTGGGTGACACCGCGATTACAAAATGATTACCCAGGATTACGGGACTGATTACACTGATTACCATTGCCTACGTGATAACCGTCATTACCAAGAGCACAGAATGTGATTGCATGATTGCAAATGATTTCGTCGATTACATTCTGTGATTACCAAACATCTGTAATCATTGAAATCACAAAAATGGCCTCTTATTAAATATGAATTGATGGAATAATTAATTATTAGAACCTGCAAAAAAATGAGGAAGGAGGGGCGGGGACTAGAACAGAGGAATGCAGTCTCTATTACTCCATCTCAAAATTTGGGCATGTATAAGTGCTATCAGCAAAATAAATTTACATTGATGGAGAATGAAACTTACCAGCAGATAATTCAGAGATAATTCAGTCGTTGGTTCTCCAGAATAAGAAGAAATTTCAACTCTGTTGAATCAATTTTCTACGGAAAAATTGCTCTCTGCAAAACTCATTGGCTATGCAAGGTTCTGAACCATAAAGATCTGGGATTCCCAGAAAAATTGATCCAGGGATCTCTGAGACTTACCGTTGGTAGAAATGACGCGCTCGAAAATTCAAAAACAAAATTCACGGTCTCACTAGGAGCAATTACGAAAAATTACACTGATTACAAATGATTACAGTGATTACAGATGATTACCACTTGATTACCAAAACTTGATTACAAATATGGTAATCATGTGATTACAATGATTACATTGATTTCCCTGGGATTACAATTGATTACATCAGCGAGTGACACCACGATTACGCCTGTGGATAGCCCCTCGATGACAGGCCAAAGACCCTTTTAGAATCACAATTTTCCCAGGAAACGGTGCAGCATGATACAACAGGAGTCGAGCCCCGCTTCGTAAATAATACATCAACCGCCGTCGCTGTGGAAAATGTCCCTCCATTTCCAGTATTTTTCCCCTTCCCGCAGACAGTAAAGAGAAGTCGATATGGGGAATTGACATCTGGCGAAAATAGGATAATGACCGTAGAATATTGAATGACGTGCGTTTCAGCTATGCAGTGCGCTGCCGCAGCATACCAGTGCGTAGAGCCAAGGGGTGAACATCATGGTACTCCTTCGCGAGAATTTCATTCAACTTCAGTATATCGGTCTCTGGCAGCCGCTCTGCTGGCCATCCAACGACATAAAATCGCGTGTTTACTGGCTGTACACAATTCACATACTAGTCATGATCCATTGTTTCACGTTATCCGAAGCTCTCAGTCTGTTCACTCTCATCGAGAACATCGAGGACTTCTCGGATAATTGTTTCATGTTACTGACAATGTTCGCTGTATGTGTCAAAGCAGTGGTGACTCTACTCAGGAGATCGGAGATCATAGATATTCTCACAGCACTCGATGTGCACCCGTTCAAGCCGATGAATACTGACGAGGAGAGGATTCAGGAGGAATTCAACAAGCGAATCAGGTGAGTGAATGCTGTCTCAATGCACACACGAAAAAATTTAATAGAAAAACCTATTGAGTTCGTTAGAAAATTCTATTGAATTTCTATTGAACTTTCTATTGGTTTTTGGCTGATTCTATTGACATGTTCAATAGAAAAAAATCAATAGAAAAAGTTAACAGAATTCGATTTTTCTATGTAACTTATTCTTTTCATATATTTTCTGTAGAATTTGCTCGACTCAAATTTTCCAAGTTTTTTTTCATTCTATTTTTCTTTTGTTCTCATCAAGAAAATCAAACGAAAATTTGAGCCAAGAAATTGTATAGAAAATATTTCAATAGAATGAGTTATACAGAAAAATTGAATTCTATTGACTTTTTCTACTGAATATTTTCTATTGAACATTTCAATAGAATCGACCAAAAACTAATAGAACAGTTCAATAGAAATTCACTAGAATTTTCTAACGAATTCGATAGGTTTTTCTATTAAATTTTTTCGACCGTGTGACTTCGGCCAAATTGAGTGAATTGAATCGTGACGCTACGATTTAAAGATTCTTTACCTTCTTTTATGCTGGAGTCGTAGAATGCTCCGTATGGATCATGAGCATCTCCGTTTTCTTCCAAGGAATACCTTTCGGTGTCTTACCTTATAAAGCATGGTTACCGTATGATTATTCAAAGTCCACTGTTTACTGGTTGACATTTTGCGCTCAACTCTTCACTATCATTATTGGGGCGAATATTTGCATTGGCTGTGATACCGTCATGCCTGGATTCTACACAATAGTGTGCGCTCAATTCAATATTTTGAGATATCGATTGGAAAAGGTGATCGATGAATTTGACGATGCGATTGTATTGAAACCGGAGGAAATGATTTTCACGTACAGAGAACATTGCGAGAAAGGCATCATCACTTGTGTTCAGTATCACAAGGCTATTTTTGAGTATGTTTCCTATTCTTGATGATTAAAATAAAATAGATCTCGTTTTGCGATGAATTTTTCACAGAAAAAAGTTTCTGAGATTTAAGTAACTCCCCTCCTGAACATGCGTCATTCGTTGATTAATGAAAACTAGCTCATTTCACGAGGGGCTATTCACAGGCGTAATCGTGGTGTCACTCGCTGATATAATCAATTGTCATCCCATTGAAATCAATGTAATCATTGTAATCACATGATTACCATATTTGTAATCAAGTTTTGGTAATCAAGTGGTAATCATCTGTAATCACTGTAATCATTTGTAATCAGTGTAATTTTTTGTAATTGCTCCTAGTGAGACCGTGAATTTTGTTTTTGAATTTTCGAGCGCGTCATTTCTACCAACGGTAAGTCTCAGAGATCCCTGAATCAATTTTTCTGGGAATCCCAGATCTTTATGGTTCAGAACCTTGCATAGCCAATGAGTTTTGCAGAGAGCATTTTTCCGTAGAAAATTGATTCAACAGAGTTAAAATTTCTTCTTATTCTGGAGAACCAACGACTGAATTATCTCTGAATTATTTGCTGGTAAGTTTCGTTCTCCATCAATGGTAGATATTCAGTAAATTTATTTTGCTGATAGCACTTATAAATGCCCAAATTTTTAGATGGAGTGATAGAGACTGCATTCCTCTGTTCTAATTCCCGTCCCTCCTTCCTCATTTCTTTGCAGGTTCTAATAATTAATTATTCCATCAATTCATATTTAATAAGAGGCCATTTTTTGTGATTTCGATGATTACAGATGTTTGGTAATCACAGAATGTAATCGACGAAATCATTTGTAATCGTGTAATCACATTCTGTGCTCTTGGTAATGACGGTTATCACGTAGGCAATGCTAATCAGTGTAATCAGTCCCGTAATCCTGGGTAATTGATTACATTTTGTAATCGCGGTGTCATCCAATTCGCCTGTGAATAGCCCCTCGGTATTTATTTATTTTCCAATTGCCTATCAACCTTTGAAGTAAATCTAGAAAATTTTTTCCAAAATCAACTCCGTTTTTCTCTGGATTTATTGAAATTTCATAACATGCAAATGATTTTAGAATTGCCAAGAAAATAAATTCCATCTCAAGCAGTATAATTTTCGTCCAGTATCTGGCGAGCTCAATCATCATATGTCTAAGTATCTTCATGTTATCGCATATGCCACTTTTTTCTTCTCAATTTGTCTATTTTACTTTGTATCTGACATGTATGATGTCGCAAATTTTCTTGCTCTGCGCTTCAGCAAATGAAGCAACTATCGAAGTAATAACATCATCACAGAACATCATTGAAAAGACATATTGAACAATTGATTACTTTTTTTTAGTGTCAGAACTTGACGACGGGTATTTATAATACGAAATGGTACAATCTGAATCATCGCGCCAAGAGTTATCTAGGCCTCGTGATGGTTCGCACGTTGCGACCAGTCATTTTCAAGAGCGGTCACATCATTGTTCTTTCTCTGAGCTCTTTCAGTAATGTATGCTACTAGCTTTCATATTTGTTTTCTACATTAATGAGGCATCATTTTCAGCTCCTGAAACACTCATACTCCGCTTATAATGTGCTTCAGCAGAGTTCGAAGTGACATCCGCAGCCAAGACATTTTTGTCATATGCATTGGGCGACTTGCCGCTAAACGGGCGATTTTCAGAGTCCATTTGGCGTCTAATTATGACCGGTGGCGGTTGGCGATAAATTGACGATTTCATAATTTTTGTGATTTCAGAAAAATAAATGTTACCAGAAATTTATTTAGCGCTCTTCATTTGCTTAATACGAAACTGTCATAGTTTCTCATATCTCGCGTCAACGTCGCGTCGGGACTAACGCCCGAGTCGAATAATTGGACCTGACAAGTTCTACTTAGGTCTTTCCGTTCAGAACTGGATAGGTCTTGGGAAGCCTCGTCCCAAGTGCCTCCGAGACCTACCTCTGGTTATGTTCCATTTGAGCACTCGTTAGGTGTAAGCAGGACTTGTATTCAGACTTTCCAAATCCTTGCCGGTCCCTGTAATTCTATGGGCCCATATTAAATCCGGGTTCATATCCCTATTTACTCATGCGTTATTGAAATAAAAAATGCAATTATTGTTTTTTTTTAAATCTCGAAAATCGACATTTCACGAGAGGGTGGAGGGGGGACGCATGTATGCGGAGGCTTGAAATTTTTACTCAACAAGGGGAGAAGGTTGCAGCATCTATTCTAGCCACCCTTGTCCCTCCGCTTGCATGCGTTGTCGAAATAAAAAATGAAATTGTTAACAAATCTGACCCTTGTTCCAAGTGAAAATGAAAATTTTTTATTTCGACATTTCTGGCATCTCCGAGGGTTCCATTGGCATTAGGGGGGGCATAAATACAGAATCAACCTTCACCTGGCGAAAAAATTCGATTTTGGCGAAAGTCGACTTTCCCCTGGGAAAACCGAAAATCTGACCCTTTGGCTCGGGGGGAAAAAAAAATTTTTCAGTTTTCACTTTTTCCACATACTTTTGAGAGTTCTGAATAGCCCGTCGCTTAAATAGTTGGAATCAACGTTCACCCGGCTAAAAAATTCGATTTTGGCGAAAGTCGACTTTCCCCTGGGAAAACCGAAAATCTGACCCTTTGGCTCGGGGGGAAAAAATTTTTTTTCAGTTTTCACTTTTTCCACATACTTTTGAGAGTTCTGAATAGCCCGTCGCTTAAATAGTTGGAATCAACGTTCACCCGGCTAAAAAATTCGATTTTGGCGAAAGTTAACTTTCCACCTAGAAAAACCGAAAATCTGACCTTTTGGCTCCGGGTGAATACGTGAAGAAATAGGATGATAGTACTCTCTTCTGCCAGAAATGATGAAAGATTTTCGCATAAAAGTGAAACACGTAACCACTTTTTGATAATTATCAAAAAACTATTTTCTTGGCACAAGTAACACTTGTTCGAGAACTTTGTCGTTTTTCTCTCAGTGTACTGTGTATCTTCAGCCCAAGAGCGCTAAAAAAAAAGTCGCATAGAGAACCCCGAACCGGAATATGTCCATCGAACTGTTCCGCAATGCACCCCTTTTTCTCCGCTGAAACTTTACACTGCACCAGAATAGGCCGAGTCATACGGAAATCCTTCAATAATAGAATAACCGCGCTATTGTATCTCCTGTCGGACAATTGCGAAAAATTGGATGACAATATGATAGGGGGAATTTGCGTGGGATATCGACAGACGGTTTAAACGACATGTAGAGCCTCGAATATTAAATGAGATGCGTCGAACTTACACGAAGTCCTCCGCGTCATAACGTCAGATGCATTCAGGGAGAGAACATGGAATCGCTTCGACATAGTTTCACTCTACTCCAGTACTGCGGTATGTGGCCGTCACATCGTTGGTCATCCTTTAGTTTTAAAGCCAGGATTTACGGGCTGTACACCGTTTGTGTACTAGCTATGATCAATTGGTTCGTCGTGTCTGAACTGTTCTCCTTGTCAGCGATTAGAAGTATTGAAGATTTCGCCGATAATTGTTTTATGCTCATGTCTATGATAGCTGCGAGTGGAAAAACGGCTGTTATTTTGATTAGGAGGGAGGAAGTTCTTGTTATGCTGAATACACTTGATAATTATCCGCACAAGCCTATGCACGTGGATGAACAGAACATTCAGAATCAATTTAATCGACGCATCAGGTAAGTACATTGTGATTTTGGTGGCGTTGTGGCGAAAATTTTATCAGTTCTCCGAAGATTTTTTTGAAGAATTCTGCAGTTTTACGATTTTTTTTATAGAAAATGTCCTGTATGAACTATTTCATGGGAAAAATCGGTAGAATTTTGTCTTTTTGTACGTTTTTTCGTTGCGATGTTTCCTATAGGAATTGCTCAACATGAATTTTCCAGTTATTGTTCTCTCGATTTTTCTCGTTTTTTCAATACAATAGAATTGTCTAGCGAATTCGCTACGTGTTTCTACGAATTTTTTTCTTATGCGATTCTCAGGTGAGAAGGGAGTTACATTCAATATTTCAACACGAAGTTTTTATTCGTTTATAATAAAACGGGAATTATTTAATAAATGTTAAATATTGTGATGTCTAGAATTAATACGAGTGAAAAAAATTCATAGAAAAACCCAGTGAATTCACTAGATAATTTCATCGAATTTCTATTAAAATTTCTATTAGTTTTTGGCCGATTCTATTGTACTGTTCAATACAAAGTATTCTATAGAAAATCTCAATGGAATTCGATTTTTCTATAAAATTTTCTCGGCTCAGGTTTTCCAAGTTTTTTGTTTGATTTTCTTGAAAATTATTAAATTATTATAATTTTCTTAAAAATAAAAAAATTGGAAAATTTGAGCCGACGAAATTGTACGGAAAAATCCAATTCTACAGACTTGCTGTAGAATATTTTCTGTTGAACATTTCAGTAGAATCTATCAAAAACTAATAGAAAGTTCGATACAGAAATCCAATACAATTGTCTGTCGAATTCGTTAGGTTTTTCTATGAAATTTTTTCATGCGTGGAATGCTTTGTGTAAAATACTTAGTTTGATAGTGCGTCAATGCAATAATAGTCCATCAATTCTGATGGAGATTGATTTTTCTACTCTATGCTGGTCAATTTGAGATTGGAGTATGGTTCATGAGTATCTTCATGTACATGCAAAAATTGCCCTTCGGAGTTTTGCCGTACAAAGCATGGATACCATGGGATTATTCAGCACCCGGGATGTATTGGTTTTTGTATTGGCTACAACTGATCACTGTCGTTCTCGGGGCGAACGTTGCCAGCGCTTTGGACACCCTAATTTCCGGGTTCATGATGCTCATCTGTGCGCAGTTTAATATTTTGAAATGCCGCTTGGAGAGAACAATCGAGGAATTTATGATCGAAACGAGTTCGAAATCTGACAGGATTCGATGCGATTCAGGACAAATCTCCGAAAGGCGGATCGCTGCTTGCGTCAAGTACCATCGCGCTATCTTTCAGTACATCAGTATTTTAATTTCATGTTGATTGTTGTCTCGCGCACGAAATAATTTCATACACGGAGAGAAATATTCAGTAAAAATTACGGAACAATTCGCGTAACCCACAATGGGGAATCGTTTTCCGGCAATTTTTATTGGAATGGAAGAGAAGAAATCTGAAACGTTCAGTGAATTTTCAGGTTCGTCACCGAACGAAGTACGAAATTGTCACGTAATTTTTCTCGAAGAAATCAAATCTTACAGAAACTTGCCGACTTATTGTGCCTCCAAAATCAAAAATTTTTGAACGTTCAACAATTTTTATGAAGCTGGTGAGTTATTTCTACGTTTCGTTCCGTAAAATTTCTCAATCGTTGGGGAAAAATTACGGAACGACTTGTGCCCACAGCGGCGAGTCATCAGACGGGTGGTTAATTTTTACGGAACAAATCGTTGAATTTACGTGGCGATTCGTAGAATTTCGGTTTCGGCTCACTTTTTATTGAATTTTACTTCGCTCGCCGATTACGTTTCGGAACGTAATTTTTACGTTTTTTTCTGGTGATTTTTATTGAATTGTTCGGATAGAATTTTTCTCCGTGGAGAAAACTCTATTGGATTTACATCAAGCTTTCTATTAGTTTAAACCCATTTGACCCCAAGTTTCCGGACATTTTACAATGATTTTATTATTTAAACTTTGCAAACTTTGCAACGAAAATTATAATGTTTTGGAGAAAGCTGTCTTTTTTATCCACAAGTAAATTCAAGTAAATTTAACGCGACCCAAGATCTCTTCAGGAAAANTTTCCACGGACGTCGGTGGCCGAGTGGGCTAGACGCAAGTCTAGTGTGCGAAAGTTTGTGAGTTCGATTCCACGTGGAACTGAATTTTTCAACGGAAGGCTCCGGCGAGCGGGAGGTTGCTAATAGAGTAACCGCCTGTACCGGCATGGGTTTCCTGTGGTTTCCCCTGCTACTCCCATGTTCTGTAGGAGTGCGAATGCGGTACAGTGTAGAATCCACAGCCGCCTGCATAGGGTTGGATAGAGCGCCGAAATGAGACCCGAAAAAAGGGACTCAAAAGGCCGTAAAAAAAGAACTCATTTTTTTCTCTCATTGCAATGGAATGTTCGATAGAAGTTGAATGGAAATCCAATAGAATTTTCCATTACTTGTCTAGGCTTCTCTATGAAATTTTTTCTTGCTTTCTTTCACATATTTATTATCCTAATGGTATTGATGTGCATCCTATCATTCCAGACTGGCACAAACAATTAATTCCATGTTCACCATCATAATTTTTATCCAGTACACTGCAAGCTCAATAATCCTGTGTGTCAGTGTCTTGATAATGTCACAGATGCCAGTGACGTCTGCGAAATTCATGTCCCTTTTTACGTACGTCTGGTGCATGGTCTTGGAAATTTTTATGCTATGTGCCTCGGGAAATGCAGCAACTGTCGAAGTAATCGTTACAGTTTGATTCTGAAAAATTTGTAGATACGTTAATGATGATATTCCAGTGCGAGCGCCTGATCTTTGACGTCTACTGTATGAAATGGTATCGATTAACCGAACGGGCGAAAAAAGCCCTGTTGCTTATGATGGTCCGGACACTGAGGCCGATCGTCTTCACGAGTGGATATATAATCGTTCTCTCCTTGGAATCTTTCACGAAAGTATGAGGCTCCGTAATTTTTGATCCGCGGACAAAATTTCCGCGACAAAATAACCGACGACCATTTATTCATTGACAATTTTTCCACCGACAAATTAGCCGAAGGTTTCATTCAGCTTTCATCCTCTTTCAAAAGAATATCAAGTGCAAAAAAGAACAAAGTAACTCGGAATTCAGAGATAACATTTAACTCGCAATTTTCAATTCGATAACTCACATTTTACATACAATTACAATTCTTCCGCCACTCAGCAAATTCCCCTGGATTCATGGAAGCCCGCTATGACGATTAACCCTAGTTGGTCACCATATGAGAACTTGCGATTGGTCACCTCCGCAGGGAATCGCCGCCGTGTTATTTAGGCCCGAGCGTTGCCGAATTCACTCTATGCTGCCCGGGCGCGTTTAGCGAGACTTCGGCAACGTCGCACAACGGGCAATTTCATTTAACATGGGAAAAATTGCCCGTCTGTTAGAAATAATTTTTTTTCTTCAGGAATTGTGAATATAAATAATTTTAAAAAATATTATAATTTTCTAGACACATAAATTGACGCATTCCAATTTTTTAGGATTTTTCCGCTCAGCCAGTCAATGGTAAGAAAAAAAAATCGACCTTCTGCGGCGTTTCCCTCCCATGGTTAATAAATATAGATTATAACCATTCTCTGACATTGAATCAACACAAAATTACAAATAATACTGAACTAAAATCAAACTGAATGCAAATTTTGTATTACTGAATTAAAAGAAATAGTGAATTATAATTAAATTTCGTGTGAGGTAACGCGGCTATCGGTGATAATACAAATGGGGAAACATTGTGAAGTAGCCACTACTTACAGTTTATCGCCCGAAATTGTAAACACACGAAATATCGGATAATTTATCGAATGTACCAAGAATAAATTGGCGGCAGATCAGATGTCAACAATACAATTGTCGCTGGAAAAATTGTCTTCAGTTTTCTTTTCATTTGGGAATTTTGTTGCGCGTTACCAACTATGATGAATCGTTCACGTGAACAAGACCTTAAATCGAAGGGAATTTATTTTCAACAGTTTAAGAAATTTCCGGAAAATTGTGAAATTTTCTGGAAATGAAATTCCAGATAATTCTTTCAATGATCTTCTAGGATTGTTTTCATAATGACTGATTTTCTCGGAATTATAACACTCTTCGTACAATCAGGATCGGTTTCACTATATTTAGACGTTTCCACGTGAAAATTTTGTGCTGCACCAGCCTAGATTTTTCATGTTACAATTAGATTGATTAAATATTACTTTCAGCTCCTGAAACTCTCCTATTCTGTTTACACAGTGCTTCAACAATCTATAAGGTGATATTAGCAACTAAAAACTCCAGTCATAATTCAGTATTTGCCACTAATGTATTGTAGCCACGCGCTGTCCCGCTCTTTCAAATGAGATAATGTTGATACTCTGATGGTTGTAATGAAGTTATAAGAATTGCATTAAAAAAATGTTATAAACGTTGACGACGTCGATTTTTGTTCCTTTCGTAAACCTAGACTGATGTCAATGCATAGGGGAGGGTGTGCCTGTACCGTCCACCTAAGGGGAAATGCCAGTTTTATATTTTATATTTCAACTTGAGTATAAAAAACGTATTTGTGAGATATCTTTAACTATTGAACTCGTTATTCTCGAAGTGTAGACGCCTAATTCTCCTTAGAATCCACAAAATTGATTGAAAATAAAAGAGAGAGCCTATTGAGCGGTACTACCCGCAGTCGGGTAATACCGCTCGGCACGATTCCAATGCCGCTCATAGGGTTTTGCGTGGAGCGCTCGCACCGCAACCTAAACTGTACTCGAGTGCTGTCGAGCAACTACGTGGCCGATCCTATGAGTGGTATTACCGGCTCCGCTCGGCGTCAACAAAATTGTTGATAATTATTGACATGAGTGGAGTTTTGAGTTCAAATTGGTCTCAAATTACGCATGAAAGTACCACGAATCGAATAACCACAGTTTAATATGAGAATCCAGCGTTTGAAACTATCAAAAACCTTAATTACAACTCCACAAATTTTGCACTGTAAAGACGTCAAAACTTCGTTACGTATTTTTTCATATTTAAAGTGGTAAATCAAGTGAAATTTTTCTGACAATCACATCCTATCATCAAATTCTTCATGATCAGGAACAGATCAGAAATTTTCAAATTGATAGTTGTGGAGAAAATCGCGTGAGCGGTATTACCCGCTGAGCGGTACAGGCACACCCTCCCCTAAATTCCAGAGCTGTGAACTTGGAAAAAAAACAGTTAAAATAGTTTTGTCTGTATCGCTCACTGTCCCCCCACCACTCTGCCCAACCCCAACAAACAGCATAAAATCGGCAACAAAAATTTATAAAAAGAGATGCAAAAAATGCTAATCTCCAGCTTTACTAATTGACACATCGGCTGCTTTACACCATTCTTATATCCTTCCAACTCACCCGACAACCGCGAAATAACATGTTCCATAGCTACTCTACACGCCCTAAGCCCGCCTCACCACTCAATACAGTAAATTGTTTCTGGGAAAATGTCTCAATTTTCCGTGCACCCCAGACCCTGCCTATACCCGTCGAAACAACAGCCGCAAAGAAAGTTTACCTAGACAATGGAAATAATTGAACCCCTTCGCCTTCCCTTTTTTACCCCTTCGCATCACCGGAAGTTTCGTTAATTTCCAAGACCCCAGTCCCTCCCCGAGGAAAAGCTCCGAGTGTTTCCTGAATACGTGAGAGACCACTGTTATGCCTTCTTTCACCTGGAAATTTTCAATATCGAGGGCTATTGTGTCGACAATGGACAAAAGAGTTTAGAGTTTAGCGTGGAAAATGAACAGGCGGAGAGAATGACAATGAGCGAGGGAATACTAAATGATGTCCGCAGACATCGTGGAGACAACCGGACGAGTGACCCCTCATGCTGGCGGGTGCGGTGGAAGGGCGATCGGTATGGTACTCCTGCGCGAGAGTTTCCTGGCACTTGAGTGTGGCGGTCTCCGAATAAACCGAACCGTTGCATCCACCCTCGATGAGCGGTAGATCCAGTGCCTGTGATCACCCTCATTCGACTACAAAATTTCATCCAATCGTAACGTCTTCAGCTAGAAGATAACGGCCGTAAAAATCATACTGTTGTTAAACGGCCATCATATAGTTAAGTTTAAGTTAAGTGTGGCGGTCTGTGGCCCTAAATCCTATGGGCGAATAAATGTGGAAGCAACTTGTTGGAATTATTATATGAGTGAGACGTAGATGAAGGCAAAAAGCCATCTCTAATGACTTCATTTTTCTTGGTATGGATTGTATGTTTAATAACACCGGAGTCAGAGTGTTTATAAGAATTTTGTTTAGTCTCAGTAGAGTGGAGGAGTGGGATGAATGCCTCTTTATGGATCAGATTTTTGACCAGAGTTCGTCACCAATTTCTTTGTGTCGAATCAGTCTCTCGGAGAGCTTTGAAAAGTAAAGACGTGCCCTCATTAATAAAACCAGTTAAATTCAAATAGTCAATCACGAGTGTTTTCATTTATCGCCATAATCCTAATATAACTGTTCAACTCTTTTACCGACAAAAATAAAATTCTGCTGTTGAAACCGAGAAATGTGATGAGAAAAATAATTTATAACGTCAATGATTTATTTAGTCAATTTTATCTTTATTTTCAGCTGAGTGGTTCACTTGATAGCTATCTACATAATATAGATGAACATAGCTAATTTGAATAATTAATTAAAAAACCAACAAGACGATAAAGAGTTCTTCTTTTTCGTTGCCTCACATGCGAAAGGTTCCGAGTTCAAATCCCGGCCGGGTAGAATGGCGCGATCTAATCATTTAAAGTCTTGATCATCATCGCAGTATACCCTAACCGGGTCGAAGCGATGTAAAATAACGATAAAAAAAAGAGTTCTTCTTTTATTCTGTAGAAGAATATTTTTTCATCACGCTGTGACGAAAAGTGAACTTTTCGGCATGCTCCGCGTGCCTAAAAGTCCAATTTCCGCCACATTGTGATGAAAAATATTGTTCGTAATTCGTGAAAAACACTTTTTTGCACTCGTTACGAAATATACTATTCTGTACTGCTTCTCACGATTTCTCGTCTGAGAATTGGTATTACATACTTCCCAAACTCGAAAACTTGAAAATCACTACAGAAAAATATTGTTCCTGGGCTGTTGCGATGGGGTTTTTTTACTCGTGTGGTGGGCCAGTCCTTGCCTTCGGCTCGGATTATAATCACATTCGCCAGATAATGCTTTTATCGCCGTGTGACATACAGTATTTTATGTCGTTGGGCCCGAAAACCGCGATCTAACCGAGCGAAGCGAGGTTAGAATCGCGGTTTTCTCGGGCCCAACGACATAAATACTATTTTTTTCGTCGTTGCGAAAATTTAGAAATCGCCCAATTGGGGCGATAAGTCCCCTAACCTGGCAACCCTGCCCCTGAGGCATTATCCCTCTGGCGGGATATAGCAGTATTACGTGAGTGGTGGAGATGGTAATTCAGGGATTAACATTATCCCTCGCACAATGGAGCGGGAGATTTCACGAATTGGAGGTTTAAAAAATGATGGGATGGGGTTTACACAGGAGGCGTGATGGTATCGTGCCCCGGTACGGAAGCAGCCGAGTCCCCCTCCCCAATTCGCTCGTGCGCACTCGTAGGACGCTGCTGTTGACAGTCTCGTACGCCACTCGCGGACGCTTGGTTTTTCACATTTAAAAAACCCCGGAATTTTCCTCGATTTTCGTCATTCTATCGGTCTCAAAAAATCTCGCAACCCCCGTAAATCGTTGTTTTGGGTTTTTGCCTGGGGCTGGAAGTCGATTCGAGTGCAATTATCGAGCGGAATCGGTGGATTCTTGCGAGAAAGGACCAAAGCGGTCCTCGCGATGAACTTTTGGCGTTAAATCGACATGGCGGTTGCATTTGAACGTAACGGTCGTCAACGGTGACAATTTAGTTTCTGCCATTCAGTTGTCGTTCAAACGTGAGTCATTGAAGGTTCGACCGTTTTTCGGAGTGATTTATCTATTTTAGGTGGATTTCTCAAGACAATTAGGAGCACTTAGTGGACGAGAAGGAGAGGGGACGGAGTGAAAGCTGGCGATTGAGGAGTTATTGGAGATTTTAGAGTTTTTTTGACATGGATCCTTTCACGCAAGTACGACGCAGTTGTTTTGACTATTTTTAGATTTTTATTTTTGAGAGGTTTGGGGGGATCTTTTGGGAAAATTGGAGCGCGTGAGCTCTGCTCCAATTTGGAGAGTTTGTTGGTATTGAAAAAGGGGTGGAGATTTTTTTTTGTTGGTGTTTGAAGAAAAATTTTTTTTGGGGGTTCAGAGGTCATGTGAGGGTGATTTTGGGAGGATTGGGCTCTGCTCCGAATCGGTGATGTATTTAGAAGTGGGGAATAATGGAAATTTTGGTAATTTTGGGGAAAAATCAACGGGAATTGATTTTTTTTTAGATTTTGGGTCTTCGGGAGAGTTTTTGGGGAATATCTCGAGATCTAAGGGAGATAGGGACATTTGTCAGAAGAACTTTTTTGTAGCGCGTGAAATTTTGTACAAAAAAGTTCCTATAGTAATTTTTCGTCAGATTGCTCGGTAACGAGATAATTTAACAATCAGTAATGGAAGAATGAAGTTTCGGAGTACAGGAGGGAGAACATGCATTAGGGGTGAATTTGCGAAGAATATCTTAGAATTGAATGGGTAGAGGAAGGTTTTTGAAAAGATCTGTTCTGTAGCTAATGAAGTTCCCTACCAAAAAAAGGTCTAGACAAGAATTTTGCCATCTCCTTTGGATTAACAGATATTGCAAAAAAATTGATATCCGAAAATTCGTTCCTTCAACAATTTCCTCACTCTTTCACTTAATTGCAGCGAATGTTAGAACGTGCGAAAGCGCGAAGAGAAAAGTTGGACACGAAATTATCGAATGCAGGGCACAATGTTCAGCCCAGGAGAAGTCCACTGAAGGACGCCAACGCCATCAGCGCTTTACAAGCAACGAGTAAGTTAATTTCCCAGGGAAAAAAACCTCTTCTATTTTCCTCCATTCATTCTGTTGACATCCATCCGATTTTTCCTCCATTTCACGATGAATTCACTGAATCTAATAGTCTCCATTCATCAGTAATTTCAGAAACGAAAATACCACATAAAGAAAGGACACGTGAATCATCAGATTCTGCAGTAAATGTCATTAAGACAGTTCGCAGGGTCTCTGAGGAGACAAACAAACGTGATGTCATCCCTGATAAAGAAAATGGGGAGAATCAGCCTAAGAATGTTAAATCTAAGCTTCAGAGATTGGGAAAATTGTACTCAGGTAAGTTGAACTACTGAGTCATCGAAAGAAAACGAGCATGAACTCGTTCAGGCATTTGAACCCTTGAACCCAGAATTTTTTTATTTACTTTTTTTTATTTCCAAACTGATAATACTGGGGACAATGAATCAGGGAAAACTATTTTTAAAGACAATTCAGCGAACGAGCTGTAAAGATGTTTGGAATTGAGGGTGAGAGATTTCAAGGGTCAAGGGTCAAGTTGTTTTTCAGGCTCCAACGACCCTTGAGAACGTTTGGAGTTACGGGTTAAATGATTTTAAGGGTCAAATAACCTTTAAGAGCATTTAGGGTCCAAGATAAAATGGTTTTAAAGAGCCCACGGTCCTCAAGAACGTTTTTTAGTCGAGGGTTGAATGGTCTTGAGGGTCAAGTGACTCTTAAGAATGTTTGAAGCTGAGGTTCGACTGGTCTTGAGGGTCGAAAGGCCCTTGAAACGTCCAGGGTTGATTGTAAAATGGTCCCAGGGTTGAGCAGAGTGATCTGAAAGGGTCATTTGACCCTAAACCACGTCTTCAAGGGCCGTTTATCCATCAAGACAGTTGGCCCCTCAACGAGAGACTGAAAAAATCCCTGAATTTTGCTCTGGTTTCTCCTCCTTTTCCGCCATCATTTTCATCGAAAATAAAACTCCAATAATTTTTTCAGAACCTCATCATTTTTATGAATTAATCAATCTCATCTCATCATCTTCTATCATTTATTACTTCAGATGACAGTCGTGAGCTGAGTTCTCCCATTCACCGAACAGAGGAAAAATTCTCAGCAGAGGACGATACAACAGAAATAAAGCACCCAAAACGTGGAGCCAGATTGGACAGACTGGCTGCCCTGGCATCGGAGATAAACAATTGGGAGGACGACTTGTCCCATCCAACTTTAGTGAAAAAAGGTGAGAGCAAAGCTGAGAAGATCCAGGCAAAGATGAACGAGCAGGTGAAGGCTGCACCTGACCCTCAACCCAGCACCAGTGGCTATGGAAAATGGAAGAGCAATGCTAATGCCAAGAAAACCGATAGCCCCACGAGACAAATGAAGTGGGATAAAACTGTTCTAGATAATTTGGTAATTATTATTCTTATTACGCATCCTTTATTCTGTATTTTCTTAAGAGGAATCAATCGAATTCAAGGATTTCTCTCGTGAATATGCACTTTAATAAGCTCTACTCATTGACACATATTTATAAAGAAATGCAATCATTCGCTTGTTTTCCACGGCACCTACACAGTAAATATTCTCATTAGTATTTTTGTAATTAGTAATTGGTGATTTATTCAATTTCGGTTTAATGAGTTCATTCATTTCAGCCTTTTAATGGTAAAATTATCTCGAAAATGAGTCATGAGAGGAGATAAGGTCATCAGACCTTTCGTTTTTATCAGTTCTCTCCGAGATAATTGCATCATTAGAGAGGAATAATGTTGTATTGTGTTTATTTTACCGATAATTTTTCAGTACAAAATTGTTTGATTTTACTCAATTAAGGAAAAATCCTGTGAATTTGAAATTTTTGTGAGGAAGCGAGTGGAATATAGGATTTCTCCACTTTCGGGAGGAAAATTTTTTGTCGTTCATGTGACTACAGTTGTGATGACTAATTGCGAGGGCTGAAAATACTTCAATTATCGCAAAACCTAACTTCCGTTATGAAGATGTCATTTCTCAAAACTGGAAATTCATATTTTTGTCTGTGAAAGTTGACTTATCACAACTCTTCAGCTCGCTGCTGGACTAATCTTTAAAAATTCCCTTTAAAATGAATTAGAAGCATCCCCTGCCATCAAATAAACTGTCCAATCTTCACTAGATCGACCTCTCGTCCACTAATAACTATTCACAGAGGAATAAACAGAAAACCCCCAAAAAAGCCTCAGCAGTAAACAAGAGTGATTTCAACAGAAAATCCCAGAAAACCGTTTTTATTTGGAATTTTATGAACTATAAAAAAGATCTTTTGATATTTTTTCCTAAAACCGTTCATTTTCGAGATAAACTTGACTTATCACAACTCTTCACTCTGCTGCTGAACTAATATTTAAAAATTCCCTTTAAAATGAATGAGAAGCATTCCCTGCCATCAAATAAACTGTCCAATCTTCACTAAATCTACCCCTCGCCCATTAATAACCATTCACAGAGGAGTAAACGGAAAACCCCCAANAGCATCCCCTGCCATCAAATAAACTGTCCAATCTTCACTAGATCGACCTCTCGTCCACTAATAACTATTCACAGAGGAATAAACAGAAAACCCCCAAAAAAGCCTCAGCAGTAAACAAGAGTGATTTCAACAGAAAATCCCAGAAAACCGTTTTTATTTGGAATTTTATGAACTATAAAAAAGATCTTTTGATATTTTTTCCTAAAACCGTTCATTTTCGAGATAAACTTGACTTATCACAACTCTTCACTTTTCTGCTGAACTAATCTTTAAAAAATCTCTTTAAAATGAATTAGAAGCATCCCCTGCCATCAAATAAACTGTCCAATCTTCACTAGATCGACCTCTCGCCCACTAATAACCATTCACAGAGGAATAAACAGAAAACCCCCAAAAAAAGCCTCAGCAGTAAACAAGAATCGTTCGAAAAACCTTTTCCAGGAGGCTCAAGGCTATACCCGTACAAAAAGCAATTCTCGCCTAGTGTATGACTACAACGCTTGTTCCCAGGAAAAGGAAGGGTCTCCAAAGCGAGAGATTCAACCGAGGAAATCCTCCGGGGTAAGTTCATCCGAAAAGATCGCTTCACCCTCGACGAAGACGAATGGTTCGCCATCAGCGAGGACTCCAGAGACCTCCAAGAGCATCACCAATGGGAGAAGCAGGTTTGGTGGTTACAATGGTTCCCCTAAAAGTACGGTACAGTCACCAGGTTCAGTTCTTAGCAAAGCCTCGTTGTTTGAATCAAAAAGTTTAGCTAACAAGATCAAGGATCCCGCTGAGATGACACTTTCGGAGAGGATGGCACTATTTGAGAAGAATAAGGGAGAGGCGCTCATTCCAAAGGCACCGTTGACACTGTCGGTTCCTGCGAAGAAGCTCATGGAGAAGGAAAAATCGTCGTCTAATGTCAATTCAGGTGAGTGAATGAGGAATGAGGAGCTCCAGTCAATGACAAATGGATTAAGTCGAAGGTCAAGGGTCAAGTCAAGGGTCAACAATGCCTAAGCATGTTTGCGGTCGGGGATTAAATAGTCTTGAGGGTTAAACGACCCTTAGGAATGTTTGAAGTTGAGGTTCGAATGGTCTTGAGGGTCAAAAAACCCTTGAAACGACCAGGGTTAAGGGTTAAATGGTCTAAGGGTAAATGGGTTAAAGTTGAGTGGTCAGAAAGGGTCATTTGACATTTAATTCATTTAACAATAAAAGGATTAAATCGAAGGGCAAGGGTCAAACAGCCCTTGAGAACGAGTAGAATGAATTTTATACTCTGAACTCCAAACGTCCTTGAGGCACGTTTGACCTTCAAAACAATTTGACTTTCTATTAAAAATAAAACCATTTCCTGTTATTCCACAATACATTTTTTGTGGAGTAACAGGAGATTTCTCGATATTCTCTCCCGTCATCACTGGAATAATTCTAAAAATTAATGAATGAATGAATAAATAATAAATGAATAATAAATCCTCAATGCACAATTTATATTTTCATTCAGAAACCTGGAATAATTTTTTTACCAATTACCTTCTTTCCGTCAGCTGTTTCAGACCCATCAAATCGTAATGGCGCTGGAAAAACTGCATTTGCAAATCGTCATTTTTTTGAACAAGGTCCCCCTAAACAAGAGCTGGAGAACGACATCTTACGCGACAGTCAAGCAGAGAGGAAGAAGGAGTTGGAGATGTTGAGATCTCGTTTCAATCAGAATAAGGAAGTGGCTCAGGCAGCAGCTGGCTCCTGCATTCGCAAAAATTCAGAGTCCAATACATCTCCGAAAAATTCACCGGTTTGCCCTGTGAAACCCACTCCGGCCACGGTAAACCATGCTTCAATGGTATTATCATATAAAATCCCATTAATTATTTATGTGCCAGTCCCATTCGCATCCAATTACATAAATCCATTCATTAAAAGCAGGAGTGAAAATACGAGGTCTTCCTTAATTGGGTGATCGTTAAAAATGTGTTTGGAAATTCTATTGAATTTCTATCGAAATTAATTTTTCAGAGAAAAGAGTCAGTGGATTTTATTCAAGAAAAAAAAGGAAAATTCAAAAATTAAAGAATAATAAATAATTAATAATTTGCATAATTCCATAATTTTTAAGACAAATCAACGAAAAATAACTAGAATTCCAGTAGAAGGACAATTAGAATTTCCTAGCATATCCTTAAGGTGTTTCGGTTAAAAAGTTAAAATAATGAAAAAAAAATGGAAAATTCACGGGAGAAGTTTCTAAGTATGCTGCGTCATTGAGAATTCTTGCACATTTTCTTCAGATCTCAGTTTCAAGAAAAAAAATAATGAAATTTGGGAGTTTTAGTAACCCCTCCAGCTATAACCTCCGAGGTTACCCCACTCTCAATTACGGAAATTTCCATGGCCCCCAAAAAAATAATGAACTATTGCGGAAAAACTAATGGGTGATAAATCAAATCTTTCTTGAGAACCCGTATAAGTTTCCGATTTTTTTCACACTTCATAAAAAAGTTATTTGAACAAATGATTCGGAAAATTATGAGTTTCGGGGCAATTACGCCCTCACGCACAGCATCATGGGAAAGGTAAGGGTTGGACCATGGAACAGAGAGAAAGAAAACACTCGACAGGTTTACCACCTCGAGACGCATTTTAACATCATTTCAATAATTAGAATACCATCCAATAAAAATTATTTGAGACCCGCAGGTGATGAGAAAAAAATCAATCAATCTGATAAATAAACTCAATATTCAAAAAATGTTTAAATGCGCACTTATCAGAGCTCGAGAATAAGACTCCCCTTCCATTTCATCCCCTCCCAAATGGGACTGGCACCCCGAGTGACCCCCGACTTAATCTCTCTCATCTCCCACAGGAGCACGTGCCCCCGGCGCCTCCCCTCCCCTCCCCCAAGACGACGCCCCTCTCCTCCCGCGGGCCCCCCACAAAGCGTCAGCCCCCCAACTCGCCCCCTCAATCCCACCCGTTGCCCCCGAAACCGATCTTCACAAATGTGAAGCGGATCAAGGTATCCCCCCCTAAACCCGGCCACCTCTACCCAGACCTGACGAACCTCGAGTCCTCCGAGACAGACACCACAGACACAGAATACACCCTCGGCACAACAGAGCCGGAAACCGCGACCCTGGACGAAACCTCCGACGACGATGACTCGACTTACGAAGGCAACACAAGCTTCGAAACGAGTATTCTCCGTGCAGTGACTCAAAATACCCCCAAGAAACGCACAATCTCCCCTGACCTGGACTCCTCGACATCGGACATATCAGTTTTAGACGAAATGGACGAATATCTGGACGAGTGCTTGGCCCTCCAGGACTCAACCCCAGGTCCAACGCCTCCTAAGCAAAATCGGGGAGTTGGGAGTCCCTCAATGACCTCCACCAGCTTCAAGTACACCACTGGATCAGCCCTGAGGTCGCCGTTGAAGGTGACACCCTCCCCAAAACGTAGAAACGATCCCTACATTGTCGAGGGCGACAGCAAGCTCCCCCTGATGCATTCGGTGAGCTTCTACCGCAGGCAGCAGTCTCAAACCCCGAAGACACCGGTGAGAACGGTCACCAGGGTGATTGATCATGAACGGGAGTCGGAGGATCACGATTACAATAAGCGAGAGGCACTCCTCGTCCAGGAGAAGCTCAAGCGCCTGAAGGACGAGGTGTGCAAGCAGAATACGATAATAGGGCAGTCGAGTCAAGCCCTGAATCTTTGTAATGCAACGGTTGAGTTCAGCGGGTCCAGGGAGCAGGTCGAGGGGGAGAGGTTGCTCCTCATGGCGACTCATCGGCGTCAGGCGGCGCACAACGAGATCCAGAGGCTCAAGGTCGGTAAATTGATGGAATGCATTTCAGAGAAGTGGTAAACCGGGTTGTGTCGATTTTGACTATTAGTTTTTGACGAATATCTCGGAATCTAAAGGAGATAGGAACATTTTTGTTATGACCTTTTTTGTAGAACCTATTGAGGGTTATGAAAAAGGTCATAAGAAAAATTTTGCTATTTCTCTTAGATTTCGAGATATTCACCAAAAACTGACCAAAAGTCAAACTCGAATTAACCGGGTTTACCGGTTTGGTACTGATTTTATTGTACAATAGTGTCTTGATGGCCTTCGTTATGCTTTTTTTCCTGTCAGATTCGATATTCATTTTTTCAATTGATTGTGGTAGAACACCCTTCAGAGTAAATCTGTCTTAACTGGTCCTTTGAAGTTCTGTTCTATTAAATTATTTATTACTACCGAGGCATAGGAAAGGGTCAGGGTTTGGATCGGGAATATGCACAGGAATAATAAGCACTCACTGGATTTAGTATAAAGTTCGTATAATTATCGGATTAATCAAGTGCAGTGAGATATCGCGATGTAGAGAAAAACTCAAGAACTCGTAATACAAAATAATAACTCAACTACAAATGATAACGTTTTCATTCTCTAGGTATTGCGTGATTTTATTGCCCACTTACATGACAAAAATCACGTATGCAATAATTCAATAGAAAACCTTGCAAATCCGTTAGAAAATTCTATTGAAATTATATGGAGTTTCTGTAGGATTTCTATTAGAATTCTATTGAAAAATTCTATTTGTTTGTTGCGCTGATTCTATTGGATATTCGATAAGAAAAAGTCAATAGATTTCGCATTTCTGTTTGAATTTTTCTCTTGCGATTTTTTCTATAAGAATGCTTGGGCATCAATTTTCCAAGTTTTTTCTACTCGGATTCTGCAATACAAAACAAAACAAAATCCAGCGGAAGAAACTTAGAAAATTTGTGTCCAGTAATTCTAATAGAAAAAAATCTTTAAAAATCCTAATCTTGAAAAAATCAACCAGAAATTCGAAATCTATTGATTTTTTCTTATTAAATATTCAATAGAATCAGCGCAAAAAACAAATATAATTTTTCAATANTTTTTTTTTTTTTTTTTTTTTTTTTTTTTTTTAGTTTTGGTGGTTTGGCGCAGTGGGTAAGTTCGTTGCTTCACATGCGAAAGGTTCCGAGTTCAAATCCCGGCCGGGTAGAATGGTGCGATCTAAGTCTTGATCATCATTGCAGTGTACCCTAACCAGGTCGAAGCGATGTAAAATAACGATAGAAAAAAAATTTTTTTTTAGCGAATTCGCCAGATTTTCTGTTGAATTTTTTCATGCGTGATGTCCTTGCCGAAACTATATACTTTCAATAATCGTGTAATTTCGGGCATTTTCGTGTCCAGCCTCCTCATCTCGCCGGCGTTAACCATTCAATCGCGAAGTGGTAAAATGGTTTAAGTCAACTCATCTCTTAGTTGGGTTTTTGAAGAATATCTCCGAATCTAAAGGAGATAATGAAATTTTCGTAATAATCTTTTTTCTAGAGCAAATTGAGTGCTACAAGAAAGGTCTAGACAAAAATTTAGCTATCGCCCTTAGATTCCGAGATATTCACTAAAAACTGGCCAATTGTCAAAATCGACTTAAACCGCTTTACCATTTCGCTACTGAATTGTTTATAATCATTCTCATTGCAAGAAGCAATACGACCGATGAAAATCATGTCCCAAACAGGTCGAGGGTACATTGAGACCCAGTGTACCTGGTGCTTCCGAAGTACAAGAAAGCGGATCGCTCACAATATCCGCTGTCACTCTTCCCCTCAAGAAGGATCAGATCAGAAACATGGATGCGGATGTTCGCCTTCACTTTTTGTGTCTCATCAAGCACCTTGATACGGTCATCGCCACCCAGGTGGTGCAGGCAGAGCCCGGTGACTCGTGCATTAGATTTCCCTCGACACTGAAACTTGAGGATCTTTACAGTGATTTTAAGATCAATGTCGAGGTCTACTCGTTGGAGACGAGGGCTGAGATACTTCCCCACGAGGTCAAGTATCACATTCATGGGGGCCACTGTGGGGGTGGCAATGCAAAGAAGGGGGTCAAGACCCCCAAGAAGTTCCTCAAACAGGAGAGCAGGCTGGTGATGCCCTCGGTCCAGTCGCCAGCTGGACCCAATGCTGTCAGGTCTCCGGCTTTCATTCTGACGGGATATGTTGTGTTCAGTCTGAAGGAAGTTAGCAGGCAGCAGTTCACCCTGAACAAGGTACCCAGGAACTCGGTGCTGGAGGGAAAACTGCAGATGCATGTGGAATGCGAGCTGTCTGTGTCGGTGGAGCACAGGGGCTTCTTGACCATGTTCGAGGATGTCTCTGGATTTGGGGCCTGGCACAGGAGGTGGTGCCTGTTGAAGGGGGATACACTCTCCTACTGGAAGTATCCGGATGACGAGAGGAAGAAAACACCCATTGGGAGTCTGGAACTCCAGGGGGTGTCTACGGGGAGTGTCGGCCTGGTTTCCAGGGATATCTGCGCTAGGCCGCACACTTTCCTGCTGGAGACGGTCAGGGAGGCGCAGCCCGGGGATGTGGAGAGTCTGACGGTGGTGAGGAGTGGAGCGTTGACGACTATTAGGTGAGCTTTTTCGCAACTTTCACTTTTTATTTTGAATGGAAACTTTGGAAGTGGGGGCTTTTTCGATTCTTCAATTTCGGTTGACGACGGTTCAGGGTGTCATGGGAGGGATGGAGATTAGGGTTTTGGAGAGTGTCTGTGGGGGGGGATGTGCGTAGCTGAAAATCATGGTTTTTTATTCACCCGTCAGCACTCGCGCTTTATTATTTTCTATTGAAATACTTCTAAGAAATAGTTTTTTGGGATCCATGTCTTATCAACTGGCGACATTTCAACTAAGACATTTCAACTAGCCACATTTCAACTAACAACATTATCAACTAACACTCCTTCAACTAGGACATTTCAACTGGAATTTTATGCGAAACATAAACTCCAAAATTCCAAGTTTTCCGATTTTAGAAAAAAATGAATTAATATATTTAAAGTTTTGCAAATATTAAATGTTTTTTTTTTCAATTTTTGACAACTACTTTGTAACATACAGCTATCCAATGGAAATTTCAATATATCTAATATTTCTCAAAAACATTCGGAATACGTAAATAACGATGATACCGCACAAATGGAGAGGGATAATCCCCTCATTATTATGGTGCCTTTAGTATCAGATTATAGAATCAGTTGTTGGTGAGAAATAGAACTGTGCACATGGCCCTTCAAATATGCCGTTAACATTTGTGAAGAGTACGAAAGGAGCTGATCTGCTTCTAGAGAACAATTTTGGAGTTTATGTTTCGCATAAAATTCCAGTTGAAATGTCCTAGTTGAAGGAGTGTTAGTTGATAATGTTGTTAGTTGAAATGTCGCAGTTGAAATGTCCTAGTTGAAATGTCGGCCAGTTGATAAGACGTGTTACCGTTTTTTGAAAATTATCTGAAAAGAATTTTTTTGTGCCAAACATGCAGAGAGTGCGCCGGAATGAAAAATTTTTGTCGGAAAAATAGATTTAGTAGTTAAAAAAAAAATTGTATTCTCTGTACACGCAAGAAAGAGAAGGCGATTGCTGGATTTGAAACTGAAGCAATGCTCAAATCTGGAGAAAATGGGTCGCATGCTGCCAAAATTTGTGAAAACCAAATCATCGATTGTGTCAGATAACATCGAGTTATTTTCGAGTGTGTTGATGTCAGGTACACGGAGAAAAAAATACCAGAAAAATTACTGTGCTGACACGTAATTCTGTATTCCCTCTCTGTACAGAGAGAGAAATGTCATTTCTAGCACTACTCCTTCGTTATTCGATACTCCCATACGTATTTTGCTCAATAATCCATCAATCCAGGACCAGTGATAGGCATATCAATCAATCATAATTACCGTTAAATGTTGAAGTTGTTAATTTTTAACATAAATCTTAAAATTTCCAATATTAAAGTAACCATCAATTGTACATTTAAATTGCGAAATATTCTATCAACCAATAATTTAGGTAGGAAGATTGACGATTATTTGGATAATCGAAAATCAAGTACCTAAATTTAGAATTAGTTTGTTAACTAAAAAATTACATTTCAGTATTATCAAATATTTTATTTACCATCAATCGAAAAAATTTAGCTAATAAATTCTATGATATGTTAAATTTGTTAAATATACTTAAACTTTGAACAATATCAGGAAATAATTCCTTTTTAATATTGTCAAAATCTAATATTACTGCCTATCCCTGTCCAAGACCCCCAAAAAAACACTTAATCAGCATATCGATTCGATAAATTTCAGACACTTAATTTCCGCGGACACTAAGGAGGAGCGTCTTGAGTGGTGTTCGAAACTAAATCAGACTCTCAACTTGATCCGTGCCTGGGGGGGAATGTCATCAGCAGTCCCATAAATCATCTCTCCGACGCAACACTTAAACAATTACTGATGAACTTTTGGTAGATGAACACGATTTTTAACGGAAAATAATAAATTGAAAAACTTTAGCCTAAGACTTCCTTGATTACGGTAAACAACAGATCAATGATAAATTACGATCATTTCTATATTCTTTGTCATTGTCTTGTTCAATTCACGATGAGAATTGCCACATTACGAGCAATTATTGTAAATATAAAAATCGTAGGATTAATTACCTTATATACGTAACAGTATTTATCGCAGATTGTGTACACGTGTTGTATCAGCGGTACGTTTATTAACTATATATGGCTATATAGATATCTAACATTTTCTTACGATTTTTTTCACGCTGCATTTGTATTCTTGTATTGTAGTGAGAGACTAAAACAATAAATATTGACGTACCTTTTATCCACGTGTTCTTGTCCGCTTCGTACTTTTATCCATCTTTGGTACATAATTTCATTAATTGGAGAGGTGAGAGGTGAGTATGGGGTGGGGGTAATGTGAGTGGAGATGGGAGAATGGTAGTTGAGTCCATTCAAGAAGGGATTAACAAAGTTCAGATTTGACAGGCGTTAACTAATATTAGATTTATGGGCACCGAGAGAAAAATTGTGCTTTTTTAAAAACATAATTATAAAATTTAGGAAAACTCGAGTCATTAATTCACTTGGGAATTGATGCACAAGAAAAAACATGAAACAATTTGATTCGTCAATTGTTCATTTATAACTTTTCTTTAGTTATGAGTAATTTATTCATGTTTCAGAGATTGAAAATTGATTTGTTTTTTATTCCTAGTTTTCAGTGCTCAATTACACCGGGAAGTAATTGGAAATAGGGACAGTGATGGTGGAACGATGAAACGAGAGAAAAATAGTGTTTTTTAATACAGGAGGGATTATCAATGTTTACATTTGACAGGCGCTAATAAATATTAGATTTATGGGCACCGAGAGAAAAATTGTGCTTTTTTAATTATTAATAGTTATAAAATTTAGGAAAACTCTCGAGTCATTAATTCACTTGGGAATTAATGCACAAGAAAAAACATGAACCAATTTGATTCGTCAATTGTTCATTTATAACTTTTCTTTAGTTATGAGTAATTTATTCATGTTTCAGAGATTGAAAATTGATTTGTTTTTTGTTCCTAGTTTTCAGTGCTCAATTACACCGGGAAGTAATTGGAAATAGGGACAGTGATGGTGGCACGATGAAACGAGAGAAAAATAGTATTTTTTAATACAGGAGGGATTATCAATGCTTACATTTGACAGGCGCTAATAAATATTAGATTTATGGGCACCGAGAGAAAAATTGTGCTTTTTAATTATTAATAGTTATAAAATTTAGGAAAACTCTCGATTCATTAATTCACTTGGGAATTGATGCACAAGAAAAAACATGAAACAATTTGATTCGTCAATTATTCATTTATAACTTTTCTTTATTTATGAGTAAAATTAATAAGTAATTTATTCATGTTTCAGAAATTGAAAATTGATTTGTTTTTTATTCCTAGTTTTCAGTGCTCAATTACACCGGGAAGTAATTGGAAATGTATTTCAGGGACAGTGATTGTGCAACGATGAAACGAGAGAAAAATAGTATTTTTTAAAAACACAATTACAAAATTTTGTAAACCTCTCAATTCATTAATTCATTCAAGAAAGAATACACAAGAAAAAAAAATAAAACAATTTTTTTAACAATTATTCATCAAGAACTATTATTTATTTTTAAATTGTTTATTCAAGTTTCCAAAACTTGAAATTGATTTGTTTGTCATTCCTAGTTTTCATTGCTCAATTACACCAGGAAATAATTGGAAACATATTTCAGGGACAATGATGTTGCAATGATAAAAGCCACAACAGAGAGAAGATATTCGACGATGGCCGGAGGCAACAGAATTATCCAATCATAAAAAGAAGACGAAGATAAACGCCCAGAGGTGTAAAATTGTAAAGAGAAACTACGAAAAAAACAGTCTCACCGGTATTACATATTTCAGATATCTTTCATCGAGACATCATATCCCATAACATTTTACGTAATCAATCGGAATTGATCAGAAATTACCAAACTTTTGGATGCGTTCATCAATCACAGCTATTTTTACCAATGAATTTCTTTGCAACAAATTATTTCAATAAATCAATCAAGGTGTGAAACTTATCTGTTAATTAGCAGTTGATGAAATTTCGCACGAAAAATGTTTCTCGATATTTTCGAATTGCACGAGCTGTGAAAAATCGACTTTTTCACGTCTGTACCGAAGCGGCGCAACGGTTTTCAATTAACATCTCGGAATCTAAGGGAGATGGCAAAATCATCGTAAGAAACTTTTTTGTAGCCCTTAGTTTGCTCTACAAAAAAGGTCACTACGAGAATTTTGTCATCTCCCTCAGATTCAAAGATATTTCTCAAAAATTCAGCGGCGGCCTAAATCTAACAATCATTCAAGTAACAAAAAATAAAGCAAAACCACAAATAGCTCAAATTTTTTTAATGCGATCAACAGAGTCTCGCAGCTATCCTGCCCGACTCCATCGAAAAAAAAACAGATACAAAATAGATCAGAAAAAAATCTCGATCCCTTGGACCAATGGCATTGCGCCCGACGATTGCCCCAGAGCATCGAGCCACGTCATTCAGAACTTAATTTAAACCAGTGTAATTGTCGGATGGAATCCATTTTCATCGGCAGTGTAATCCACCCTGTACGTCTTGCCGTCGGGTCCCCTGAACTCAAAACTGCCAACAATGGACATTGCCTCATTCTCAGATCCCTCGTTCTTCAATTCAGCGGTTTCCTCCCTCTTCTGTCCATCACTCTGCTCATAACTGAAATGATAACCACCAACTCCAATACTGTTGTTCTCCTCAGCCCTGACAATCGTTATATCCTGATTTGGATTGCCCTGTGGTGCTGCATATGCAGTTGCAGCTAGTGCAGCCAGCAGAATAAATATCTGAAATTTTTTTTCATTGTGACTATATTTTAGTATTGTTCACCGATATATCGAAAAATATATTGATATATCGATGGATAAAAATTCATTTTTTAAAAAAGTCAATGAAACAATCAATATATTAACGCCTTTCGACATATAACACTTCAATATATCGATATATTGATATATCAGTACGAGAATATTAATATATTGAGAAATATTGATAGATCAATACCTGGAAAAACATTCATGCATTGATATATTATCCTGCTGATATATTTATATTTTCAATATATTTATATATCAATATATCAATATATAAAAAATAATTTTAATATTATTGTCATATTATTTTAACATTTTTTATAAATATATAAAAAAATAAAAAATATAAATATATCAGCAAGATAATATATGAATAGATCGATTTATGATCGAAAAATGCCACTCACAAGGCCGATAACGGTCGATATATCGATATATTAATATATCAGACGATATATCATCAAAACGGAGGTTATTTCAACAGGTATATCATTAATATTTTCGAGTGGTTATTTTTTCGATATATTGATATAATAATATATCGATATATTAATCCACACTATTACATAATCGATATTTCCGAAGCTCTTCGAGAAGGCGATCCAGTTTTTTGGAAAAAAATCTGTGAATACTTTCAACTTATGATAAATATATTCAACATTTTTATATCGGAAAAATCTTTAGGGGCCATCAATATTTTCTCAACTGAATATTGACGAAAAATCAAAGAATAATAATTTGAAGAAAATGAATGAAAATTATGATAACTAAAAAATAAAAATCTGCCGAATGACGTATTCGATATATTGATGTTCAAATTCAGAATATATTACGGAAAAATATAATATATCGTATAGATAGGGAGATATGCCAACATTCTTACAACATCGCATTAAAAAAATAAACTATTGAATAAAAAAAATCTGTCATCGCGATATTTTTAACAAAAAATAATCCCAAAGACTGAATCACTAAATTTATGATAATTCCACTATCGATTGCCGTAAGCCGCCATGAAATTTAAACTTTAAAAATACGAGGAAGATGAAATAAGGCGTCTTCACTTTCACCATTGCGCAAAAAAATGGGTTTTTTTATGACGGCCACTGAAGGGACCTTCTCGAAAACTTGCCCGAAGGACGACCGTTCAATTATTTTTTTTCATGTATCTCTCTTTTTATTTTTCATCTGAGCAGAACGGAAATTCCCGATGCAGGAGATAAGAGGACCCACCGTTTTATCCATGATTACACCTTTCGTTTATTCAATCGAGTATTCAGGGCAACAATTGCAATTTGTTTTTTTCACTTTGCGAAAATATGTAGGGAGACCATCACTGTACGGAGGATTGCAGGCAATCGTTACCTTTATATACTCGGAAAATGCATAATCCCCACCATTGGGATGAGGTGAAGAGATTACGAGATGTACTCATCCCAGGTGCATCTTCCAACCGCTTGGGGATTATGGGTATGACGTTGTCGATTGCTATTGGCGTGTTGGGGGACACCCTGGTGTTGCATTCCTCCTTGACGAAAAATATTATGCAGAAACTGGAGATTAACGGATTTTTATTCATCGTTTTCTCCATATTACGGGGAAAGCAAGTGGATAATTGCATTTGTTTGTAAATGAGTGTAGTTATTGTTGCTAATAAGTTAGCAATTTACTCCTGAATGGGTTCTCTTTTTATAAATTCTTATCTCAGGACTAGCGAACGGGCGTCAGTCCCTAGATTAATTTAATTTTATCCGTTCTTTCTCTTATAAAATGTATATTTTTCCTTAATTCACAAGTTACAACATTGAATGAAGAGGAATTATGTTAAAGATCAATAAAAAGTGTTTTGTTTTGTGACCAAAACAAACAGAAAACAAAAGTCATTCGAAATCTCATTTGGGTAATAGAAAAATCTCTCCACGTATTCCTGAAAGTTTTAAAAATCTGTTTTTATTTCATATGGTGAGAGGATATCGCAACTCCTCATTCCTATGGTCGGATTCCAATTATTATTATGAAAAGAAAATTAAAAAAGAATCAGAAAGGGAGAATTGGCTGGAAAATGGATTTTTTTCTTGTTTTACGTCGGCCGGCACTTCAAATCACTTTTTCTCTCCAAGTATTAGAGGAATATTAATGTCAGCGAGAAGAAATTCAAAAAATGCAAAAAAGTGGGCGGGAAGAACTAAAAAATTGATTTTTCAATGGCTCCGGGAAGTTTTAAAATCGACATTGTTTCGAATAATGGAAGAATGCCCATAAATAAATTGTTTATATATTTTATTAAAATATAGAATAATAATTATAATTGTTTATAATTGTTTATATATTTTATTAACATTGTATTATTTCTATTATTATTATTAGCTTTCAGGGGTTGTTTTGTTCTTGTAAATGGTGAATTATCTCAGTGATAAGTAATTTTAGTAAGAAATTTTGAAAAATAATTTTTGTCGTAAATTTTTGCAGTTATAAAAAGGGTTTTTCATAGATATTTATCAATAGACTTCTTGATCACGTTTCATCAGTCCAGTGCTAAATCATTCTTCTGTTAATCGAAAACAATGATCGTAAACAAGTCATCAGACTTCCATCAATCTATCACTCCATCTCATCATTCGTTTCGTAATGCACCTGAATGATGGCACATCTGCATGGTAAAAGAATCATGAAATCAGAGTCATTAAAATTGAAAAAAAATCATTGCAGGATATCCAAACATTTAATGGTGACGAGAAAGTGTCAAGACACATTTCCTGTCAAAAATTTTGTCGACTGCAAACATCTCTCAACGATTTCCTATAAAGTCACGCGTCTCCGGGACAAATGCCAATTTCGAGAACTATAAAAATCGAGTGTTTATCAGATCGTAGAATTTTTTATTGTACTTTTGAACAACAGTAAACGAATCACTAGATTTCCATTGATCTACCACTCATTTATTTAAAAAACTGAATTAAAAAAAAAAATTTGTTTCAAAAAAAAGGGAAAAAATCAATGTTTTATTAAAAATAAAATTATTTCTATAATGATGGACTCGACGCACACATTAAAAAAAGTTGTCCATTGAAAATTCTCTCCGTTTGTTTTTGCTTTTTTCTTCAAAAAAGGTAATGTTGAAGAAAAAATTCTAAAACTAAATTTTCTACATCCTGACAAATGTTTCATTATCTCCGTACTGAGAGATTTTCGAGAAAAATATCAATAGACATTTTTTATCGGAATTTTTTTCAGCTACAAAAAAGTTCTGAAGACATATCCCCCTAGAACCGCTGGTTCCCGAGATAACTGCACAATTAGAACCCATAAAAACCGATTAAAAAGCTGATGGACCTAAAAAAAGTCATCATATTTCCATTACTCTATTCCTTCCCCATCAGTAATGCCTTCGAATAATCACTCATCTCCCCCACGAAAATCCTAGCGCCGATGATTCTGAAAAAGCTGCATTGCACCTCGACAAATGTCGAAAGAGGGAATTGTCAATTTCGAGAACTATAAAACTCGAGTGTTTATCAGATCGTAGAATTTTTTATTGTACTTTTGAACAACAGTAAACGAATCACTAGATTTCCATTGATCTGCCACTCATTTATTTAAAAAACTGAATTTAAAAAAAAAATTTGTTTCAGAAAAAAGGGAAAAAATCAATGTTTTATTAAAAATAAAATTATTTCTATAATGATGGACTCGACGCACACATTAAAAAAAGTTGTCCATTGAAAATTCTCTCCGTTTGTTTTTGCTTTTTTCTTCAAAAAAGGTAATGTTGAAGAAAAAATTCTAAAACTAAATTTTCTACATCCTGACAAATGTTTCATTATCTCCGTACTGAGAGATTTTCGAGAAAAATATCAATAGACATTTTTTATCGGAATTTTTTTCAGCTACAAAAAAGTTCTGAAGACATATCCCCCTAGAACCGCTGGTTCCCGAGATAACTGCACAATTAGAACCCATAAAAACCGACTAAAAAGCTGATGGACCTAAAAAAAGTCATCATATTTCCATTACTCTATCCCTTCCCCATCAGTAATGCCTTCGAATAATCACTCATCTCTCCCACGAAAATCCTAGCGCCGATGATTCTGAAAAAGCTGCATTGCACCTCGACAAATGTCGAAAGAGGGAATTGTCAATTTCGAGAACTATAAAACTCGAGTGTTTATCAGATCGTAGAATTTTTTATTGTACTTTTGAACAACAGTAAACGAATCACTAGATTTCCATTGATCTGCCACTCATTTATTTAAAAAACTGAATTTAAAAAAAAAATTTGTTTCAGAAAAAAGGGAAAAAATCAATGTTTTATTAAAAATAAAATTATTTCTATAATGATGGACTCGACGCACACATTAAAAAAAGTTGTCCATTGAAAATTCTCTCCGTTTGTTTTTGCTTTTTTCTTCAAAAAAGGTAATGTTGAAGAAAAAATTCTAAAACTAAATTTTCTACATCCTGACAAATGTTTCATTATCTCCGTACTGAGAGATTTTCGAGAAAAATATCAATAGACATTTTTTATCGGAATTTTTTTCAGCTACAAAAAAGTTCTGAAGACATATCCCCCTAGAACCGCTGGTTCCCGAGATAACTGCACAATTAGAACCCATAAAAACCGACTAAAAAGCTGATGAACCTAAAAAAAGTCATCATATTTCCATTACTCTATCCCTTCCCCATCAGTAATGCCTTCGAATAATCACTCATCTCCCGCACGAAAATCCTAGCGCCGATGATTCTGAAAAAGCTGCATTGCACCTCGACAAATGTCGAAAGAGGGAATTGTCGACGTTGGGTCAGGGCTCCACTTGGCGGAGGGAATCCACAGTGACCTCTGACCCGGGAAAGAGTATCGGTTTGACGCGCCTTAGAAAGTTTAAAAGCCGAGTAAACCATCACCAGGTCCTCCTTTCCTCTGACATATCAGAGATACCGGAGAGTCACTGGAACACCATTCAGGTGGGCATGACATAATTGATCAATTGATTGACGACACGTCTCTCCGCTTCCCTCAGCTAGACGCCGAGATTAATAACGTGTACTGGGGTGGATTTTTTTATCCCCCTCTTATTCATGAATTTTTTTTTTCATTCTCTTATTTATTCAGGCAGAAGGCAAATCACGCTTACGTCCTTGCGCACTGTGACATTTGGATTTTACGGTGAATTCTCTCTTACCGCAGAGAGGAGCCCAGCGGGCACATTGGCAAAGCCACGAGGAAAGTTTCATGTTACGTAATTTTTCACCATACCGAGGCGATTGGTGACCTTGCCATTTGGAGATGCTACCGCTGGGGTGGGGGGTGATATTCGAGGTAAAAATGTGAGGGAATTTGTGGAGACAAAATTTTTCTCACTACGACTTTTCACATTTTTCATGCGGAAATTTATCCCTCGGAAAAATTTCCAACGACATTTTTTCCCGTCGTCAGTAATGTCATAACTTTCCCGATTTTTTATGCGAAAATTTATCCCTCGGAAATTTTTTCTCGGACATAATGCCGAATGACTTTTCACATTTTTCCGACGGAAATTTTTTCCCCGCAAGTGCAATTTCATTTGCATTCATGTGGAGTTTTATTTGTGAAACTCAAAAGTTTAATTTGGTGTTTTTATGGAAAGAATTATTCTTTTAAGAGATTTGGCCTTTTGGTACAGATAAATAATCCGGAGGTATCAATCCCTCTTTTACTCGAATGGGGGAATTATGCTGGGGTACGAGGGGGAGGGGGGATTGCGTGCATGAAATTGGCCTAGTTGGAACAATGGTTGAGAAGCGAGTTGGGATGAGGTGAAGCTGTAATTGAGAAGGCAGTGGACCTGGACGAGCTTCCGGAGGAGATTCTGAGGTTTTCAAGGGATTGTGTAATATTCGGCGAGACCTTTATGGGGTGTCTTAGTTCTTTGCGGAAANGGGGGGGGGGGGGATAATTTTGGTGTTGATTTGAGAAATCATGTTGAGCGAATACAGTGATATCCAGAAATTATTTTAAAAAATTCATTGACCAGAATTGTATTCCTTAACATTCCTTTCCCGTAAAAAAAAAGCGCAAATCATCGAAATTTTAAGAGACTTTTTTCGCCATAATTTATGAAAAACGAAATCTTCAAAAATTGCTATTTATCGATTATTTTATCTAGGTGTTGTCAGAAAGAAGAATTCCATTTTTTTAGGTTTTTGATAATTATCTTTTTGTAATTTCAAAAGGTCAAACCAGGGAATGAAGCTTCGACCTGCAAAGTTTGAGTAATAAAATCATTCAAAAATTGATTGTAATATTTTTAAATGTCATTGGTAGATGTCTAAATCCGTGTTTTATACATTAATTTTTGCATTTTTGTAATTTTTA